TGCGTCATAGTTTCAAGGAACGAGGCTCCCATTGGCCGCTGCACGTCAGTTTCAACGACCTCCAACCCATGGCACTGCGTGTCTGCGCTGTCAGCGCGCCGGTAACACGAAGCATCCAAGGTCAGAGGGGCGAGGAGAGCCAAGGATAGCACGCACTCTGTCGTTGACGCAAATACGCTGCAGACGAAATAAGGGAGTGGAAGAATGATGCATGCTTTCGCATTCACAACTCATAAAAAGTGCTTATGCATACCTGGAGCTTTTTTAAGCATATGGTTGCAAGCGTGCAGTTAAGGGTATGTGTTTAAAACTCAAACTGAAACCTTTCCTCTCCCACTTTTTTTATTCTTTGTCTTAAATAAAAACATGATGCTATCAGACTGTCATTGAAGTGGGTTTTACAAAGCTAAAAGAGAAAGAAATATTAAATTTTTCTTCTTTTTGAGCACATCTTCGGGACAGAGTGTCAGTGTCACGGACTCCCAAGACGATCTCATAACTGCAATCATCTTTCCAGCTATCTGAAGTGTCCCTGAAAAGATGATCGCTTATTTTATAAATATGATAAAAGAGAGTATGATAAAATTAGTTTCAACGTATTTTGACACAAAGAGTTTGTTCTACAAAGCTAAGCAGACGGCTTATAGGATACCGTCCAGATGCGCTTTTTTTTTAATTTTGATTGAGGCAAATGAATGCGCGGATTGAGGGTGGGATGCGTTTTTGAATTTTGCGGATGCGGATCAGATACAAAGTCTGCGGATGCAGATCGGAAACGGATACAAATATTTAAAAACATTGGGGATACGAAGTCTGCAGATGAGGATCGGATGCGGATACAAATATTTAAGAACATTGGGGATACGGTTCGGATGCGGATACGAAGTCAGCGGATGCAGATGATCAAACTGTTATCTGCGCAGTGCTCTAGCCATCGAGAAAAATACTGCCTAGATTTACCGTTTTGTTTCTTCATTCTGTTTTATTCCTATCAAAAATATTTTCGCCTCCAATTTTGTTTTCTCTTTTTATAGGGAAGATGTTTTGTTTTCTGGTTAAGCATTGGCGTTTCGAACCCGCAAAAACGGCATAAAAGTTTTATACCGTGAGGCTGACGAAAACTACTAAAAACCCAAAGGATGAATATTGTTTCACCATTTCACTGTTCGAAGTATGAGAAGCAATTTGAACAAGATATTCACAGTATTCAAGTAGAAGTATAGTCACAAACTTTAGACATAAATCAGAAGATTATGTTGTCTATTTTGTTATTTAATTTATAAGATTTGTTTTGTATATTATAGTTTGTGTAGATCCTTTTGCAGTCGCCTGTTTCAAGTCCAATAATACCTCACAGTATTATTGAACTCTAGGATATCACAGAAAAAACAAACGTAAAGAACAAATAGTGAAACCAGGGGGAATAGGAGGCTATGGTCATACAATGATGTATTTCCTTCATCCTCATTCTCTTTAACTGTGGTTATCTGCAGTAAAAGAAAAGGGAAGAACAAGATGTCCATCAAATGCAAGCATTTACCCTAGAGGGCTTCAGGAATATTTGTGCATGGTTGAATTTATTATATGGAGCACATGAGGCTGTATAAAAAAAGAAAAGGGAACTGATGCTCTCAATGAGCGCTTGACAACGCTTTTATTGAGGCAACAGAGGTCAACTGAAAGCTCCAGCTGCCACGGCAAATCAAAATTAAATAAAATTTCCGTACTCTGTGAACAATGCGGGGGGAATTCAGCTTCGCAGTTTCGTGGATTCGAGTGATGTAACCAAAAAGTTTTTTATTAATTTATTCATTTTCTTTTAGTATAAATGATATATATATTGTAACATCATTATGGGTGTTCGTAAGGGGCACAAACATTGTCAAGCTATATTTTTTGGCTTTTTGCATGTTCTCCGGACATAAAATTCTATACAATTTGAAAATATAGCTTCGCAGGAATGAAAATACACCCTGAGGAGCTACTGGGACACAGGTCTCCATCAAGGATAGCTTCCCTACTCACTTCAGTTTCCGGCGCGACATTAAAATAAAAATCTTTAATCACGGACAGAACGGACGAATGAGATCCTTCACATAGAAAGAATGTAGGCAGTGAGATCTTCTTGCAGGATACCTCGAACCCGCCCAGTTTTTTTCTGCCCCAAAAGAATGGGACTATACCACCCCCCAGAGATTGGGATTTCGCTTCAAGGTCAGATATAACTTATACAGTCGACTCTCATTAATTCAAACTCGAGGGGGGCCGAAAATTTGTTTGAATAAAGCAAAGTTTGAATTATCAGGAGTTTCTTCCCATAGAGACGCATAGGATGGGACCTGCACGTTAGTTTGAATTATCCAAAAGTTTAAATTAAGAGATTTTGAATTAACGAGAGTCGACTGTACAACAAAAGATTGACAGGTTTTTGTTTATTTTTGTTTTTTATGGAAAAAATTACTCTTTTATGAAAAGCGGAGGCCAATGGGGCAAAAAGGCAGCACCTCAGTGCCACCTGGAACTTTAAAAATCCCTACCATCTTGGGGCGTGTCTCTGTCGTGTCGTTTAGCTGGACGCTCTCTCCCTCATCGGGCAAGCGCCGAAGCAGACGCACGGACGCTTTTCAGACGCGTGAAATACGGCTCACATGGTTGGGCCTTCTTCGAAGTGGCGAGGAAAATTTCACGCCTTTATTTTTATGCACAAGGGGTGCGTACGACATATGACATTCTTCAGGTTTGTCATCCATGGCCATAACACAAGTAGGGAGGGAAAGCCAAGTGGCCGTTTTGCCAGAAAGCTAAGAAAATCTAAAACAATCTTCTGGTGCCCCAAGCAGAAAGGGCAACCAACAGCCAACAATAGTTTGGCTGTACGCTGTGACCCTAAAGCTTCACTAATATATATATTTTTTTTTTTTTTGTGGTTTGTCTTTAAAGGGCAACTCCGGTCCATACTTTCGATTTTGGGATTATGACTGTTTTTAACGCAGTCAGCGTCCCTGAATTGTAAGGTGTAATTTTTTTCTCGTTATTGTGCATAGTATTAAAGATATCGACACGTCAAAGCTTAGTTTGGGGCGCGGCCAGCAAAACCGAAACTAGCCGCTCGAGGCCCCGGCAACACTGGAAATCAGCCGCTTCGTGAACATGACGTCAGGATCGTTCTGGTTCAACGAGTATGCAGGCCCAGTGGCACCTACCTCTGTTGCACTAGCCGTCTAAAGATAGGAGGTAAGCTGATTTTGTTTTAATTCTGTATACGTGGTAGTTATCCAGCATATGTCGCAAGAGTTAGTGCGTATACTTAGAAGCTAGCGACTGTAAAACGAGTGGACTCGTTCGGTGCCGTACTCGGCGGCTGTCGCCGTGTGTGCGGTCTTCCGTACTCGTCGCTAGGCCTAAATTGTCATCGGGGCTTCGTGGATGGAGCGGCGTTACTCTACGCCGCGCTGCCAGTGACGTACAGTACTGGAGGCCCTCTCGCTTTCGCGCTGCGGGTCAGTCCCAGACACAAAGCTTTCAGGCTCTCCGACGTGGGCCGCTTCGCCCGAACACACGTGTGCTGGACTGCACACGTCTGTTTTTTCGTTCTTTTTTTCCTCGGGCGCGTAAAAGCCGAAGTCCAAAGTATACTCATCGAACAGCGTTCACCCACACCTTCTCCAATTTCCGGTCCGTTTGAAACTTGTGGCAAAGCACTTCTGAGTTGCGCAGCGGGTAGTTTGAGCAGCCCACAGCGCTACAGGTTGTACTCTGCATCTTTCGAGGAACAGCTGGGCAGTCTTGGGTGCACCGAGTTGCTCGCTAAAACGGGTCTTGGAGTCCTCACAAGCAAATAAACAAAAGGCTATACCGAAGCTACATGGGCTACAGATAAAAGCAACGGCTAAACACGCCAATCACAAGCTGAAGTAGCGGTGGTAGCGGCTCAAGGAAGCCCACTCCGCGCAACGCCTGGACCTGAAGAAAAAAAAAAAGTATGATACTGACGTCAAGGCCCAATGTTGCTTTAGCGATCGGCAACCCGCTGGCCACCCGCTAAGGAGCAGCAACTCGCGGCGGGTCGCAATTTTATTATCGGCATTAGTTGAGAATGCGGTGTCCCCCGGACGTAATATTTTGGCTGGGGTCGTATTTTGTGTCACTACAGTAATTTATTTCATTTTAAGTTTTGACCGGAGTTGCCCTTTAAGGAGCTTGTGTTCATAGTAAGACAAAAATGCACGTGTTTACCCTTGTTTGTTCCCAAACTATACTCTGTTTCACCTTATGATGTACCGCAGGAAAGGCTACAAGCGCGAGCTCCTTGCTCTGGGGCACATCTGGGCGGCACAAGCTCTCGTGACTTAAGGCCCGTTCACACTCTTGCAACCGAGTACGACCGAGAGAGACGAGATCTCTTAAAACTTCTTAAATGTTTTTAGAATGAGGGAACACACTGGCATTGTGGCGCCATCTATGCGGTGACCCTGGAACTACATTTCACAAGAGCGAAGGTTTTGCGGGATTTTCGAGGTCAAATGTGCGTAATACCCATAGAAAGGCTCGTTTATAACATTCACAAAAGCTTTTCGAGCCAAGAAAGAAAGGATAATGTGCGAGAAATGAAAAAAATATGCCGGACCGGCCGAGTTTACACTGCTTCCCAATAGACGGCGCCAGTGTGTTCTCTGGTTTAAGAAGTTTTAAGGAACCCAGGTTTAAGAGGTCGCAAGCAGTCGCAAGAGTGTGAACGGGCCTTTAATAGCGGCTGCCAACGCTATGAGCTCGCGCTTCTAGCCTTCGCTGTGGTACAACATTAGGTGAAACGAGGTATAGCAGTCTACAGTCAGGACTGCGGGTATCTATTTTCACAAGATAGAATTGTATGGGGACGAATTGGTTCCCAAAAAGTGTGTCGGTATAGCAGGGAGTTCATATTAACAAGGCATGACTGTATTATCTTACAGTTTCCATGATGTACTGAAAAAATTATCTTTTGAATCAGCACTACTTACCAATGCCACCTTGTTGATGGAGCGAATGAAGGCAACAACGATCTCCTCCCGGACTTCAAGGCAGAAGCTGTCTTGGAAGTTGGCCTGTTTCGTGAACTCCACATCGGTATGAACAAAAGCCTGAAAACACACGACTGCTCGAATGACAAGTTCCTCGTAAAAATCCTGTTTTTGCGTGAAAGCAGCAACACAACTGGTACTTTTTTACAGAAATTTGTCAACACTGTAGAACCCTGCAGCTTTTTTATTACGAATCGGGCATAGGGTAGTGGTGTAGCCAGGAATTTCTTTCAAAGCATGCCAATAAGACCTCCATAACTTAAAGAGCCCCTGAAAAGAAAAAAAAATGTTTTTTTTTTAAACAATCTGGCTTCGCCTTCACGTTGAGGTGGAAAGAGCGAATTATCATCTTGTTGAGGTCGAAAGAGTGAATGACCATTCCGTGATGTTATGGACTTTGCGCGCAGAATTTCAAATAAATCTCTCGCCGTCAATACTGCTCTAAAAAAAAAATATATATTTTTTTTTTTTTGCACGAGAAATTTATTTTTTGGCACGCGTGCCCCAACCAGACTGTTTAAAAAAACAGCTTTTTTTTCTTTTCAGGGGCCTTTTAAGAAGAAGAAAAAGAAGAAGAGGAAGAGGAGGAGGAGGAGGTGGCGGTGGTGGTGGGGGGGGGGCATTGCCTATGCATACCTGGGCATAGGGATACATGTGCAATTCTTAGGGCTTCCAAAATGACAAGAGGCCCATAAAGAAACTTGAACCAAAATATGAGGTCTTTGCAATGATTCCAAGCATATGAAGCATCACGCTCAGATCAACCAAATGCAAACGCCTTTCAATGCCATCTCACCACTACGTCTTTAGATGCTTTTACAAATTATCTGTATTTTAAATGTGAACTTTAAACTTTGATCTACCCATCATAACTAGGGTTCCGTGATTTCGGTAAGTACCAATAAACCTCAAAAATTAACCCCCGACCCTGTTTTATCAAAATTGAGAAAAACCAAGAAGCCAAACATTCGAGCTGTGTGTGAAGAAAAAACTCCCAAGATTCACGAGATGAAATCTTTATCAGCAGTTTTATTTTATTTTGACCCAGAACACAGCCCCAACCGAATTTGTTACAAGGCTGCTTCTTTGTTTTAAGTCGCACACCTTATTTTGTTCCCTGCTATTACTGGTCATTCAGGTCATGCATATGTTCCATTAGGGATGGGGAATTCCATATTCATGCCCCATTTTCTTCAACACAAGCTTCGACGAACCCCACTTTTTTGTCTCAAACCAAAAATTTCACACAGAAAAACACCCAGTCTGTAGGAAATATAAACCCTGAAAAAACACCCCCAAATTAGCAGAAAAATAAACCCCCGAAAACATGGAACCCTAATCATAACCATATCTTTTTCCTATCTGCATTGTGCATGTTTTGGGCACAGAATAATAGAGTGCACAAGAAGCCACAAATTTTGTTTGAATGATCAGGAGTGAATTATCAAAAATTCATTTAAATATGATGCAAGATAAAATTATGATTTGCCATATTATTAACTACATATACAAAGTAGATATTTTATGATTTCCTCTACATAGGCCTACGGATCATAAACAGGTATGCCACACATTAAACACTTGCAAAATGTAAGACATAAGTTTATTTATCTGAAGAACACGTGACAACTCAAAACAAAATTAAGTTTGTCAGGCCAAGAAGTTGTCTAATGTGGACTATTAAGCAGGGGACAGATGAGCGATGAAAACGGGCACAGCGCGAGTTTTCATAAAAACTTGTGCGGATGCTGTGACGTGGACCTATGCCATGCTGCCACGTCACAGTGTCGGCGCAAGTTGCTATGGAAATTTCCGTGTGGTGCCCGTTTTCATAGCTCACGTGTGCACTGCTTGAGCCCCATTGAGTGCGCTTGTCGCCAAGCGCTGGTGCACTGAGGACAAGCAACACCCGCAAAAGCAAGCTCCGCAGGTGTTGCCTCTCTGCAGTGCACTGGTGCTTGGAAAGAAGCAAACTCAACGGGACTGCGAGAACAAAAGGTATGAATTACACGAGAACACCGTTAGAATTAAGTGGCTTATGAATACTTTAAAAACGCAGCAAGACAAGCAAAATTTTGAAATTTGTTTGAATTAATCAGAAGTATGAAATATGAAAGTTTAAATTATAGCGAGCCGACTGTATTATTATTAAACTCAGTGTACCAGCACCGGTAACATTTCTTTTAACAATGGACCTTTTTCCAGTAAGCTTCTGCGCATGCGTATACCCCTTCCGCTGGCTTTGCTTATCGCTTTCGCCATTTTCGCAGGACAAAGTTCTGGTCGACCAAGATATTCAGCACCTGTCTTTGCGTATATTTCGTCTTTTTTGGCGATTCTTGTTTGAGTATACGCTAGTATGGGGCATAGAAGGCAATGAAGATCCATACAACAGCACAATACCAATGTATTCTGACAAGCAGAGGCAAGTTGGACTGCCCTTCATTTGTCGTTCAAAGACAACTCCGCAGACAGCGCTCGTTACTGAAAAAAGGTCCATTGACTCTCATACGACGTGTAGAAGAGCGAATGCATGCATCTCCTTCATAAAATGGCTAACAATGCAATACCTGAATTCCTCGCTGAAGAAACCAAATAAATTCACGAAACATCGACCCCCGTACGGAGGCTCTCCTACGAACCCTCTATCAACAGCATCATCGAAGTTAACAAGCTTCGCATCCCTGGGAACATTAGTGCATCTGAAATGGCAGTGTGTGCAGCTCACTTGCAAGCCCTTGAGCAGGCAGCGAACTTGGTTGACGATGAGCGTCTGCAGCCCCATGTGCAGGTCCGCCAGGCTGAGGCTGTCCTGGCCGACGGTCCGAGGGAGGGCCAGACTGTGGCGCACGTCCGTCAGGCGCTCCATGAAGAACTGGCGCAGTGTGTGCAGCACAAAAGCACACTGGTCCTGCGCCGCCTGCTTTACTATCTTGGCGGTGGGCTTGCTGTAGTCAGCATCAGGCATCATCTTGCTTAGAGCCTGCAACCTTTGGCAGAACCGGTCCAGCGCCTTCACCAGGATGCTGCTGTCGACCAGGCGGCTCTGCGGGACCATGCATTTGTATGTGCACTAGGGGCTAGAGAGCATTCGGGCGAGACATATTTCCAACTTAAAACCTCCCCCGGACTCACGCTGGAATACTATGAGGAGCATACCATATTGATTTACAATTAATTTTTTTGCTGCAGATACTGGTCACTTAATGGTCAGTATGCACGCTCACCTTCTCAACAGGCACTCTTTGAAGCTGAATGCCATTGCACCTCCAGCAGGAACCACTTTCCAAAGTACCTTGTATCAACAGCTGAACAGCTGCTTCCAAATTATCAATAACTTCGAAATGGCGTCCTCGAAGCGTTTTTTTTATGCCACCAAACAGGTGATAATCACTAGGGGGACCGGTCAGCCTAAACCCACGGACGACAAAACGTCCGACTGGTCATATGACATGTCGGAAAAATGGCTGAACATGATCATGCTTATCTGTGCCCTGCTTGCCTCACAGAATGCACACGATGCAGCGATTGACCGGTGCCTGATCAGGCTTGGAAGTCTTTCTCGGACATGTCGTATGGCCAGTCAGACATTTTGTTGTGCCTGGGTGTAGCCTGACTGGGCACCTAGTGGTCATCTCCTGTTGGGTAGCACGAAAAACCCCTGCAAGGATGCCATTTCGTGGTCATCGATCAGCTGGAAGCAACTATTCTGCAGCAAAACAAAAAAACTTGAAAATCAATATGGTACGCCCTCGTACGCATTCCTAGGCACAAAAGCAGAGATCTCTCATGCTGTGGTCAACTATGACTGTCACTAGCAGATATTGTTGAGCATGTGTAACTTATTTCTGTACATGAGATATATTTTTATTTTCAGTTCAGTATTCCTTTAAAATTATTTAGCCGTTTAAACATTGCAGCATTGTCAAGTGCTCATGATGACAGAGATTAACAAGTAATCATGAAAATCCCACTAGAAGCGCTACTAGAAATGAAAGCTTTATTATACAATTTTTCTTTTTATTTTATGGCCGATTGAGTTGGAGCAAAACATACATTAAATTGTATGCAGCACCTACCTTCACTTTGAACTAGAACAAAAAAAAAAAAAAGAAATGTACACTCTAGTACACTTGTGAGTTATGTGAAAACAGTACAAAAGCACAGCTCTCCAACTCTATGCGTTACACTGGTGCCGGCTACTCACCTCTGCTGCCACCCTCTGTTCCACAACGTGAAACAATTGCTGCATTAGTTCGTCCAGAAAGGCTTTCAACTTCTGCACCACAGCCACGTCCGATTCTCCACTGCATCAAGCAAGAGGGAAGGAGAGCTTGTACTGCCTACTCTTAGAGGTGGGAACTCCAGCACTCACTTTTCATAATACTCCACTGGCAGCCTGTTGATGAACAAGTCTGTGTAGGACTCAATGATGGTGCACAGGCCGCTCACAACACAGTTGCATGCCATGTTCATAAACTCCAAGATGTGCTGCAAGGTAATGCAACCTGCACTAGTATGCAATACTCTTCAATCCTATCAATGACGTGCAAATACAAACTAATTCCAAACACATTGAGAGAAAAAGGTATAGTGAAGTACCATGACTCCGCATTTGTTACGAAAGGCCTCGTTAAAAGGGGGAACCCACCAATTTTTTCACTATCTTTGATTTGGCTGAAAATTGGCAAATCAAATCAATAGCCCGTTCTTAAGTGAAAGCCAACATACTTTGTCAGAATTAAATTTTTCCATGGTGTTATTAAATTTCTAAAGTATGCAGGTTGCACAAGTTCCAGCAGAAAATGAAATATCCCTACTTTTCTATCCCCGGGTACATCATTGGTAGGAGGGCGGACGAGACACCCTGGAAGCCACTTCACGGCTCCCTGGGTCGCCAGCGATCAAGATATTTTTCCTGCAGTCTCAAAGTCAAAAGTTCCTCTACAAAGGGGAAGAAATCTGTGCTTCCTGGTAGATTGCATAAGCAATGCAGGAAAAAGCTTTTTTTTTTTTCTTGTTACATTCTTTTACGAAAAAATGTAAGGCAAATTTTTAGGCAATTGTGTTGCATATGTAATGTTCTAGCATCACAAACATTTATATCATCGTTTAGCGGCACGTCTAGCCTGTTCAGCCAGACGCCTACGTTTATGGCACTATTCGCCACATAATTTAATGCGTGGCATGCATACACTTGAAATGATAAACCTGGTGATCTTCCAGAACCTTCTAACCCACTACACTGCTCTCCCACCTCACCTACCCCTCCTCCTCATTCCACCCCTGGTAACATGATCTCCCCGCTAACCAATCAGCGTCGAGCACCTCACTCCTCCTCTGTCGCCTGTCAACCAATCAGGATCGAGCTTCGCGGTCACACCTTTATCCAGGATTCACTTTTGGGTCTCACGAAATGCCGAACACCTAGCCAAAGAATGTTCCATGTTAAAAAAAAAAATGCACAATTCTGCAGCAGTGGGTGCGAACCATGTCAAGGTGCTTTAGCATAAGCCGTGCACCAAGAGACCAGTGCCACACGAAACATACTCGCCTCTGCTGGGAATACTACACAGCTGGAATCCAAAAGATGAGTACCCTTCAGCAGTTGCAACTGTTTCAAGGGCGGCTATCGCAGAATCAAGCCTGCTATTTACCAGGACGGCCCCTAACCAAAGAGTGCTAATGAAGTTTATATTCTAGCACTAGTCGACATGCAGTCTCATCTGCTCCTCACATTAGCTTCTTTGGCACATTGGCAACGTTGGACAGCGAGAGCAGCCACAGCCAGCTGGGGATACTCGCGGTGTTCAATCATGCGGCAATGCCGACCTGTCGAAGGCAAAAAGCGAGTCATTTAAACAAAGTTCTAGTTTGATTTTAGACATGCCTTTCGACATACTGCTGTTTGTGCCTGGTATTACAGAGCTTCAGAAAACAGATGTTGAGCTCCAATATACAATAGAAATATGACCTGGTATGTCTGTCAAATTGTTGGAGACAAATTTTTTCTCGCAGAAGAGGTAGTGAAAACTTTTTTATTTATTACATCACAGAGAAATGATAAAGAGGCTTGAAAATTAGTCAAACTACAAAAATTAGAAACATTGTTGAGGGCAGTCGAGTAAATTTGCTGCCAATGGGCACTGTGCAAAACCAAAAATAATTTGAAAAAAATATACATATATATATATATTATATTGATCTCAAAATTATTCTTTTTCTACAACTGCACTTATGGATGAGTGGTTGAGTGCATTGCATTTTACTCTAGAAAAAAAGCCTTGGTGAGCATTAAGACCCTGTCAGTATCCCTTTAACTAGAGCGAATCTGAGGAAATGAGATAGCATTTCGGAATCAGGAAACCACAAGCGTTCAGATGATGTCCTTGGATTAGGTGGCTAAAGCTATTGGCAGAGCTCCCTTTTAACGGGCCTGTTTCTCCAGTACGAACCTCCACTCAATCACCTCAGCAATCCACGTAAAGTCCATGCTTTACCATGGGAAGGTCGAGCGCCGCATCTTTTCCACCCTCTGTTGGAGAACATGCAGCTGGATCCGTGAGCATTTTGACTTGACGCTGGAGTTCCTTTATATCCCTATCCAGAGTGCGGCGAGCACTGCAAAAGACCCACCATTCCTTGATACGCTGAAAACACCCGGTGTAATCTGCATCATGCAGATATCAAATGTGCAGATGCAACATCCCTGAAGCTCTGGAAAAGATCTAAAATGACAAAAGAGCGCTGCCAGGTGCCATCAGGGAACAGCAGTCATACATACTTAGAAAGGTAATTATCACAAAGCGTGTCCGTTGGTTCCCGCAGTTGAAATAAGAGCTGGACAGTGTCAAACAGTTCCCTGGTGGTAACCTAGGTAAGGAAAAACACTTGTGTTAGCCTAGTCGCCATTTTTTTTTTTTTTTTTTTTGTAATGAAATTTGCTTGCACCTCTGGATGATCAAACTTTTTCCTAAGACGCTCTTTGAGTACTTCGACAACTGCATTGCAGTCGTCATGTATGCCGTAGAATGATGGCATGTGTTTGTATTGTCGAAGGACCTTCTGGGCTTTGCTGTAATATCTGCAATGACAAACAGCTAGAGTGAGGCACGAGACTGCATTCACAGCATCCCAAACCAATCATACATTACTGCTTCTTCATAGGATTCGCTCTCGATACAGGCTTTTAGCCGAGGAGGGAGCTCAAACAGCAGTTGTAACTGGAACAGTGCCAACGTACTTGTGAGGAGTAATAACCGGATAATTTTTCAGCGCGTACGAACCCACCTTCTTCAGGAGAGCGTGGGTGCTCGAGAGTTTGATCATCTGGTCCCTTCTCCCTTGCAAGGTACCCGAGATACTCCCACTAAACTTTGTGATCTCCGACATGTTTGATGACAAGTGATCCATTTCCTCTTCCATGCGTTTGAAGTCATTTTTCATCTGCGATAAAATGGAAACTTACGAGGGTATCCACCTCAATACTTTGCCGGTCAACAGTACAGTGAAGCTCCAGTACGACGTTTACCTTGCGAATTGTGTCGGTAGCACTGATGAACTTGTTATAATTTTCATACACCAAGGTCTGCATTTCGCTATCTAGGGCTTGGATTTGTTTGTATATTTCCTGTTCCTTGTCCATCAGATCTGCGAGGGTACATTCCTTCAGGAGCTAGGATATCAATCACAAAATAAAAATCAACAGTTTCATATAACCACGTAAGATATTTTGGCTAGTTACGAACCAGTGCAGTTCAGCGTGCTAGAGCAAGGTGAAGCGGCAGTACCTTATTTAGGTACAGATCCGGGTTGAAGTCCGGCCCATTGATGTTGTACGGATCAAATCCAATGTCCGAAGCTTCGGAAGATCCTTGGTAGAACTGCTTCAGCATCTTTCTTTGGTTTTTCTTGCGAAGCAAGTCTTTATCGTCGCCTAGAGTGACAGCAGTTTCGAACATCACATCAAGGATTATATAACTCACTGCTACCATGTTAAACGACTTGAAATGAGTCAGTCGAAACGAGCATTAACCTATTCGAAAACATTTTTCAATGCAGACACTCTCGGGGAAGAGCACATTTATATCAGATGTAAGTATTACGGGGGTTCGAATGAAACGAACGTCAGCTCCTCCTTGTCATCGAATACCTCGAGTGCACAGCCCGCGGAGCATACCCATTATTGCATATTGTACGCCCACTTAACCACTGTCTGCGCATTGGTACATTCGAGTTCCCTGAGACATCAAAATTTCCCAAAATAAAGCGTTTCAAGACTCACCAGCTAGCTCCTTCGCCATCGCTGACATGCGCCACCTACACGAACGAACCGGGTGAGCTGGTTAGGCTGGTTAGGCCGGAAGGAAGTCCGACCCTATGGTAAACTGTGGTCCGACTAACGCGTCTAGCACCGTCGTGAAGTCTGTTAAATCATGATATAATTCGATCTTATGATTAACTAGCTTCTTTGAATCGCTCTAGGAAGGCATTACGTAATTTTGGTTTGCTTTTCCTTATTTTCGGTCCCCGCCAAGTTTGAAAAACAAACCCTTCTCCAACGAAGATCATATTAACAAATCGCACTCAATCAGTTCACAAAACAAATGTGCATGATAGCCAATTTTTCTAAGGAACCGTGCGGATCTAATTCAAGCCCCGACCAGGGCGCCCCTAGCGGCAAACGGGTCCGTTGCATCGGGCATCTTCTGCCAGTCGCTGCGTTGGTCGTGCGTTGTAGTGGGTTAGCGCTGTAATTTCTGAGATGGCTATTCCCAGAGCCTCTGGCTATTCCGCACCAAGAAAGCCGCAACAATTGCTGCGTGGTCGGCAAGATCGCGCACGGCACGAAGTACTACATCGTCCCTTCGAAGCCGTACGAGGCGGAGTACTGCGCGACCTGGATACGACTTGTGCGTCCATACAGGTTAGTGGTGTTTCTTACCTTCCAGTTCGCGCTTTGTTTAAGCTGCTGACGAATAATACAATTAACTTTTTTTCTCTTCTAGCGACGATGGAACAGCATCGACACCGACGGCAAAGTATGCAGCAAATACTTCACCGGAATCGAGAAGCGGAATGCGGTCGCCCTCCTAAGCCTATCGTTGGATGTTTCCATCAGCCTACAGGAAGATAGTAAAGAGAATCGCGGAACGGCGCGAAAAAAAATCGCCCAGTTATTGTCAAGCTGATTCAGAAATAAACGTACATAATTACCGCAGTCCACTCAACGCCAACAAAAAATTTTTGCGGGCGCGCTTAATTTTGTTTGCAGAGTACGGCGCTCCGTGACATCCACTTGTCCGTCGAAACGGACTTCCTTCACGTCGCACACGCGGCCACATTCATGAAACAGTTTTCTCTTCGTCATATTGGCACCACGGAAGAAGCTTTCTGGATTCCTAACCGCCTTAAACCCCGTCGTAATCACCCCGGGAACACTGTCTGCTGTGCTGCTAATCGCCACTGCTCCCCCCGATAATTCTGCACCGGCTACCGAAGAAGCTTTCCGGATTCTTAGTCGCCCACTGTCCTGTGTGCTGTTCGTTGCTATTACTTCGCGATGATTCTGAGCCGGCGGCACCGGCTTCCGAAGGAACTTTCCGAACTCGTAACTGCCTTAAATTCCGTCGAAATCACGACGGGGACACTGTCCGCCGTGCTGTTCGTCGCCATTGCTGCCCGATGCTCCTGCGGCGGCTACCGCCAGGTCGCGGCGAACAATAGGCGACCGCCGCGACACGGCCGGCTTGCTCGCTTCCTTATAGGAAGCGAGCAAGCCGGCCGTGTCGCGGCGGTCGCCGCGACACGGCCGGCTAGTCAAGGGGGGGGGGGGGGGGGGGGGGGGGGGGGGGGGGGTACAAAATGTTTTAAGAGAGGGAGGGGGGAGTGAGGCCCCAGCAAAATGGGAGTTTTTTTTATTGTTTTTTTTTTTGGGGAGGGGGGCCGCCCCCCCCCCCCCCCTCCCTTGGCTAGGTGCCTGATACAAGGTGTTTCACAAAAAACAATCCAATATACTCCAATAAAAAAAAATCATGGCAAGTTGTGGCGTGACACATGCCACAAGATCCTTGCATGTTTTTGAAAAAAGAATTGGTCTGTCACCAATTTCTTGTTTGAAAAGGCACCAAAACTTTATTTAAGGTGAACAAAAAAATTATCAAATAGCACCTGGTGGATGTTCCCAAATATGCTTAGAATGTTGTTAGGTCAATATAGCCTTTTCAAGAAAAGTGTGCATCATTTAGTAGTTGCTGTGCCAATCATCAGTCTACCATTGTTTGGGCATGTATTCCAAACATCTATTGAACACGAGTAGGGGTGTCGTGAACTTTTGTCGAACCGAATTTTTAGGTCGCACGAGGAACTAAGGGTGTCGCGAACTTTTGTCGAACCGGATTTTTAGGTCATACTTTCGGGGTTCGACCGGGTCGAACCGGTTCGACGAACCTTCGAAACTTTTCACCAGATTCGACCGGTTCGACTTTGCGGACAGTGTGGCCAGACCTTGATAGACGCATGTCTAGGTTTGGAGAATTTATTTTTATGCAAATGGTTATTTTATTTCATGAACAGTTGGAATTAAAAGAAACCACTTCTAATCACTAAAGACGTTAATAACTTAGTTTTGTTTGTACTGTATTAACTGAAATAACCAACCAGCGGTGCCCTTAATTCATCCATTAGCCATTACCATCCAATCCGAAGCCAACTGGCCAGCCTGTCGCGCATGCGCACACGAGTCGAACCTCAATACAAGGTTCGTCGAAATTTCCACAAAAAGTTAGAAAAAGTCGAACCAGGTCGAACTCGAACCTCGGCCGGTTCGCGACACCCCTACGAGGAACCTTCAAACTTTTCACCAGATTTGACCGGGTCAACTTAGTGGACAGTGTGGCCAGACCTTGATACAAGCATGTCTAGGTTTGGAGAATTTTTTTTATTATTCTATTTTATGAACAGTTGCAATTAAAAGGAACGAATTCTAATCACTAAAGAAGTTAACTTAATTTTTTTTGTACTGTATTAGCGGATATAACCAACCAGCGCTGCCCTTCATTCATCCCTTAGCCATCACCATCCAATCCGAAGCCAACTGGCCAGCCTGTCGCACATGCGCACAGGAGTCGGACCTCAATAAAAGGTTCGTCGAACTTCCCACTAAAAGTTCGAAAAAGTTGAACCTGGTCGAACTCGAACCTTGGCCGGTTCGCGACACCCTTAGACACGAGGGCTGAGCCATTGTGGGACGTGAACTCGGCTCGTATCGAAAACTGCATAAGCTTTCAGCGAGGACTCAGAATCCAATCACACGCTTCTTGCCCAAGAAATGGCGACCGCCAATGTTGCTCGACGGGGTTTTGAAAGGGGTCTATTGTTCTCCAAAAGCAGCGCTGCTTGGTGGAAGTTTGGTGCCAAGCCATGTATAGCCCAACAAGCTCGTCTGAACCGGTTGCATACTTCCCTTCTGTCCCATGCATATGCAACTCCTGCAGCTGGGGAATAAAAAAATAAAAGATGATGGGGAGGAGCGAGACTAGAGTGTACTAGAAAGTATGAGTGGGACAAGCTACAGGCTCCGTTCGTGCTTTCATTTGCACCTCAAAATGTGGAAAGCGATCAGGTGAAACCAAGCCCCTTCGATCGCAGCGCCACCTTCACTGCGTGCGATCGAGCAACGACACAGGTCAAGGTCATATGGGCAATATAGCCCCTTAGGAGCTATATTGTATTTTCTTATGATTTTGATGTCGGGGGCAACGTCAAAGCACCAACGACACGACGACATGACGTTATGACGACGCCACGTCGTCATCGATGACTACGACGTTACGCGATGCCAAGATGCTGTCACAAGGCTGTCAACATCCCATCGCGTCGAGGACGACGCCGTTTCACGACATCAAGTCGCCTTTTCAACGCAGTCGTGACATCGCGTTGAGGACAATGCCGTTATGCGATATCAAGTCGCCGTTGTGACGCGGTCGTGACATCGCGTTGCGTTGAGGACGACGCCATTACGCGACATCAAGTTGCCGTTACAACGCAGTCATGATGTGGCGCGCCGCATTGATGACGTGGACATGGTCATCAATGCCGACTGACGTCGACGCCCCACGCAACATCGCTATGACATCACGTTAACGTCGTCCTGACGTCATCGTTAACGTCAACATCACAACGAAGCCTTCACGGTGTGCAACGTCGTCGCTTTCGCCAGTATCAACGTCAACGCGCAGTCACGACGAAGTCTTGACGTCGTGCAACGTCGTCGATGACGACGTCGAGTTGTGTCATGTCGACAATGACATCGACGAACTGACACCAAGCGTCCTTATGACGTCGCATTGACAAGGACGCCGTCATCTTGACGTCCCGCGACGTTGTCGTCACTGTCAAAGTACTACGCCGTCAGAACGCAGTCTTGATGTAGTGTAATGCACGTTGTCAACGTCGATAACGACACTGGCGTCAAGGCGTCATCCTGATGTCGCATGGCGTTGTGTCAAGTCAGGTCGCGGTGACTTTATGTATGTAACGACCGACGTCTAGGTTGTATAAAAAATATAGTCCGGCGTTCTTTTGTTTCTATGACCTTGACCAGTGTGCCGGTCAAGCTTGCGTTTTTAACGAAACGCGTTTTTCATAAAAATATGGCTAATCGAAACCACTTCGCTCGTAGCGCCGAGAGGGTGCTACGAGCAAGTAGCTTGGATTAGCCGGTTTTTTCCACATGCGGAGGTACCTAAATAGCACTCCGGTGGCTCCACTCGTTCCTTCTAGTACACTCTAGCAAGACCAAAAGAGGTCAGTGTAGTTTTGGGGAGCAGGTGGACCACTTCGCCTCCGCTCGCGTCACCCAACCAGCCCCTGGGCATTTTGGTGCCACCTAGTGGCAAAGCTCATAACCATGCCAGTCTTGTTGTAGACTTGCCCGTGCCGGGACAAGTGACGTCACAAATGTGCCAGAACTCCGAAAACGCACAGCGCTCTTTGATGGCTGCTCTTAATCATTTGCCAGAATCGACCGTTTAGCCGTATGTTCAGAATAAAAGCGGGCAATTGTCATTGGCAGATATTGTCAATCCTGTTTAACTCATTTCTAAATGGAGAGGTATATTTAAATTTTCCTTTCAGTATCCCTTTAATCATTGCCAAAAGGCACTTCGGAGACGCAACCTACTGGCTGCCTCTTTCCATCAAAAGCGAAACCACGGCAGTGCATTCAATATGGATGTTCCTTCAGAATGTGGCAAAATGCTGCACATAATGTTAAATTAGCTAAAAGAGTGATGCAAAGTAATTTTTAATAATGCCCAGTTATTTTTTTTTTATTGGAGCTATACTTTCATACTGGCTACAAATCATTAAAAACTAACTTAATGCTGAATCATCTCAAAAGCTATGCACCTCTGAAATAGGTCATCTTGGGGAGATTTAACCACTGCACCCTGAGCAACTAACTTTAGAAGTATGCCCATGGGGACAGCAACAATCACGATACAGCGCTTGGCCGATGTCGCCGAACACTGCTTCAGCGTTTGGACCGGGGGCTCGCGTTAACCCACTGCCGGAGGAGGAGCTCTTTTATGGTCACTCCAGCCTGCGTGAACAATGCAAAATGCATCCTTCAACAACTGTTTTCAACAGAGACCCGGTTTGTCGTGTCCTGCCTTTGTCACTCCGTTTATCGTAAACATTTTACGTTTATGTTTCACAGTGAGAACAGCCCTACCATTCTCACTCTGTCAGCAGCTGTAGTCACCGACAAGGTGAGAACGGCAGGGCACCTCTTTGGAATGCCCAGCCTTCAGCACGAGCTCGTAGCCTTTTGCCAAGCTTTGGCTCTGCGTGTACGCTCGAAGCTCAGCAGACACCGAAGCAATGCCGAAAACAGGACGCTCACGCTGGAGGCGGGACAACTGAAGCTCCTCTTTGGCGTTTCAATCTTGCTTGTGACCAACTTTTTTTTTTTTTTTCAGCAATGTAGTTTCTCTTTGTCAGTTTGCGAAAAACACGCTCCTCTACTTGTAAACAGACATTTTGACATGCAGCGAGTTCCAACGTATCGCTCAATGCTTTCCATCATACACCGTACATTGATTGAAAAAAAATGGTCATTGTGTGAGTTGGTTATGACAGCTCGCTGCATACTGTTTGCTCAGAAATCCAGGGAGGAGAGTCATGCCTTTCCATTTACCTTAAACACAGTTGAGCGTGTTTGTATCAGAGCAGCTTCGTGAATGATGTGAGTAATGCCAACGAGTGTGCAGCCGGCACTAAAAAAAGATTAGCCCGAGTAAACAACTGCTGGAACTGTGAAATTGATACACGCGGCACTGCGTCGTCGCAGATACACAGAGATCGGGAGTAGTCGGGCCGGAGGTGCTTCGGCAGACAGCTAGCTTTCCCAAATAATTCTTGTTTTTGCTACGTCGGTACTGCCGTCGGTGATCACAGCCAGTTCAGCATCTTGAAACCGTCTAACGATGGTAAAGTGGCAAATAAAAAAATAATATTGCCGCTGTCAACAAGCAAGCAAATTGTGCGGTCATGTATGACTGGTGAAAGCCCGAGGCAGAGCAGTGGCATTCTGAAAGCACACTTTGGGAATGGTTTCCGTCTATTGACCTGCCCCGTGTCACAAATGTGGCACACAACGGGCAATCTCTATCCCGCAGTGTTAGCGCGACTGCAGTGCCACGTATCGCAACCCGGCAATTGCTTGTTTGAAGCAATTTTTTTTAAGTGCAGACTGTACAGTCAGAAGCAATATCGATCAATCATTTTATTGCCAAATGGTCAGGCCCTGCTTTAACGTAGCATTAGCGGAGGAGATAAAATGCAAAAGCTTCAGAAATTAATGTTATTAAAACTTCACTGATTTTCAGAAATTTAAAGTTAAAAAATGGGGCTTTCTTTTGACAGCAGACGTTGCTCATCTCCATCTAGGCGGGGGTTATCTTGACAGATGCCCCGTGTCTTGGCCCTGGAAGAATGCAAGCACTACATCCTGCAGGTTGCGTACAAATACCACATAAAACATGCACCACACACAGCATGTACAACCAGACCAGCCCTCACTAGAGATCCAAAAATCAGTCGGTATTTATTTTAGGGCACAACTAAATAGTGGGGGCAAAAACTTTTGAAACTTGTACTCTTAAATAGGTTACCTCCAAATTGACATGTTTAATTTCTATGAGCCCGGAAGTTGTATACTGAAAATAAGTAAGTACAAACCACCAGCAAAAAAAAAAAAAAAGAAAAAAGAAAGTTGCAAAGACTTTTTTTTTTTAAATGTACAACATAAAGTTTTGCAATAACCATGTCCTCATTAAAAATATAATGCACTGATTGCAGTCAGCCTAATTCAGTCAGTAAAATGACAACCTGCTGGATGTGAATGTTCACTTGTCAGCATCATATTTAAATCGGAGAGCACTGGAAGTAAAGAATCTTTCACTTGCATGATCAACAGCCTTAACACAGAAATCATAATTTATACAATCCTAACTATATACCAACTCATGTTTCCAACGTCACACCAAGGCAGTGGCACTGGCCGTAGAGCAGGGAGTGCACAGACGCTTTGCTCTTTGAAGAACATTTTCCCGGCAAACATGCTCGCTTATAAACAATGAACTGGTGCATACCCTAAACCTTAGCAGGAAGGATTGATTAAAACCGGAGTCTGCAACGTCATAGAAGCTCAGAAAAATATGAACGCTTCTCCTTGTCCACCCCAAAAGACAAGGCCGGGCTAAAAAACTAAAAGAGTAAAACTTCAGGTGCAACAGTAATTTGAAGCATTCCTATATTTACAGCAAACTTGTGAATAGTTGTACGGATGGAAAAAACGCGAGTGACATAACTAAAGATGAGATGTGACACACAAAAAAAATTAAACTGTAAACACATTAAAAAAGGAAATGAAATTGCATGAATGCACGGGGCACGTCCAAGAGTTTCTCGGCACAAGTCAGTTCACTTTTCCACCCTGGTGCGGCTTGCAAGACGTTCGCTTGTGCGCCCACTGCTTGGCTCTGGTTCCCACGAAGAGCTGATGGCTGCAACACCGAGAGCATCTGTCAACAAACAGTGGCGAAACCAGAAAATATTTTCGGGGGGTGTTTCCAGGTGCTAGTGCAATCACACACACAATAAAAAAAAAAATATATATATATATATATATATATATATTTCACAAAGTAAAATTTCGGGGGTTGTTCTGACACCGGAACACCTCCCTGGCTATGTGCCTGTCAACAAACCTTGCACACACCTGCTGGAAATGTGTGCTTGAGAAAATACCCAGCCATGTTAATCATCAAGTTTAAACAAATGACTGCTGTTTCGTGCCGAGGTTACGTAACACTGCTCCGGCATGGCAGACACTTGGAATAATACAAATTTACATTAGGAGGAAAATTTTTAGATGATGCAATTTTTTTTAATTTCTATTGGCTTCACATAATAAGATCAGCCTTTCTCAAACTGGTCATTTACAACATTGGTGAGAAAGGTTAGAAGTATGCTAAGGTTCCCACAAACCAGAAATGCCATCATACATTTTTTTTCTGACTCTTATGAAAGTTGAAAGGAAGATACCCTGAATGATGCAGTTGACTTCAGTACTACAAAATCCCGAATGAGTGCCCACCTCTCTCACCCATTGTTTTCCTGGCTAAATATACACGCTGAAAAACTACCAGAAAACAGTGGGGGCTCCTAACAACAGCCCCACCATTGGTCCAAAAAGAAAAAGCTGGGGTTCAAAACTGGCTACATTATACGCAAGACAACTGACACTATTTTAATGCAACTTAGTTTAGCAAAAAAACTGTTCCAAACGTTTGCAAAACCAAGAAATAAAACAAGCGAGTGTTTAAAGATTAATTTCCGTTACTGGCGTCATCCTGTCACCACTGTTGCTGGCCCTCTTCTTTTACACTGCCACACTCAGTGGTGCAAACCAGCAATCGCTAACAGTAGTAAAAAAAAAGGCAGCAGCGTGTGCGTGACTGAACATGTGCATTGAGTGGCGGGTTATGTCACCTACACTTCATTTAGCACAAGTCAAACGGTGAAAGCTACCATTATTAGCTTTTGCTGGCCTGCATGCAAGTATCAACTGACACACAGGCCACCCATAGAGAGATTGCCATAGTCGCGTGACACATTGAAAATTATTTTCTGCACAATTCATGAAATCGCACTCCATACGGTTTTTGAAGTAAAAAAAAAAAAAAAAAAAAGCACAGGAAGAAGAGTTTGCTATAGTATCAGTGATTTTGGTTTCTGTATCACGTGAGTTTGTAGTGGGTGCCAGCATGTTTATCCCTCATTGCTGCATAAAGTTGATCTGTCCCATCCCAAAAGATTGCCCATTCAATACTTTTCTTTGTTCGTCCCTTCACTTTGAGTGGGCGTTCATTCGGGATGTTGCGGCGGTTATAAGTAAATAAATTTCTAAGCTTTTTGTGGGCGACATTAACGAAATAAATTGAGCAATGCATGCAAAACACTTAGTCACTGTACATGATTAGGAGAGCCCTTAGAAAACAAAACAACTGTTTTGGCTGCTGTAGAAAAGCCATGGGGCACGCCAGGTAGGTTTATTCTTCCGCGTGGCTAAACTAGAGTGGAAGCTGCAAGTGCCATCCTCACCTGTTCCATGCTTTTCGATATACTGTAGAGCTTTCAATAACCGCAATGTCTCGTCGACTGATCTGTACAGGTTGACATCGTTGATTGTGCTTTGACGAATCATGCCTCTGGGGTCAATGAGAAATGATGCCCTGCAATGCGAATCAAAACAAAAAATCAGTACTCCCAGAGTGCAACAGACACTACACAAAAGGAGAAACAAGCAAACATCGCACACTCAAAGGGAGACACTGGTTTTGACGCTCTTTGTCATTTCTCGTCCGATTTAGATTAAATTCTTACACATCTAAGTTTGTATGCCAAGTACGGATGTTGGTGACGAGATGTTTAGGCGGCACCACCTTGCATGCCGTCTTTTCTGACGTGGCAGATAGGGTTTCAAGCAGATGACACCTTAAAGTAATCGCATGAGGCGCTTATGTTAGTTTACATCTATGTCGATTGATAGCTGTTGAATTCTTCGGACAAAGATACATGACGTCTTTATGCACTTTTTCTACTAAATTAGAGCATCTCAAAGCCACTTTTATACAGTCCTTAAAACATTCCAAAACAAGCCTCAAGCTTGACACAACACTATGCGTGGCATTCGTCGAGGCATCTTCAATTCTTGTCTTAATAATAATAATAATAACAACAATAATAATAATAATAATAATAATAATAATAATAATAATCATCATCTTTATTTTGATGCGTCCACAAACAGCTCAAGGTCTTCTGTGTGGTACACAACAAGTACAACACAACTCTAAAAAGCAGAAAGAAAAAAAAGGTATCTAATTATGCAAGTAATATACCTCCGAGATTATGGCAAAATGTAATTACATCACAAAATATTTTAAGCGAGGGACCATCACTCGCTAAATTCAAGTTACATTCTTAGGAGATGTGGTAAGAAGCCCATGTGGCTAGAAAAAGCTGTGAGCACGGCTAGTACCCAGTGGTGTGGGAAAAGAGGCGTATGTGTGGAGGCTCCTGTGGAAAAATTTGTTTTGCAATAACCAGATTATAGTAACGTCTCTTAGCTGTGCAATCACGCACTGTTGTGTTCCGTGACACCACCCATTTGACTAATGGAGCTTGCCCATACCAAGGATGTTGCTGGCAAGCATTCGTACGGCACTGTGCGGACCAAGTCTAAGTGATTGTTGTTCTTTTGCAGTGGCACTTCACCTCTCCCGCATCAAATACGCCAGAGGGACCATCCAGACGTCACAACCTACCGGGCCCTGGCTCTACCGATCAATCAATTGACGGGTCCAGAATGCCGCCGTTCATTATATAAGGGCCCCCCCGATGAATATACGAGTTCCCGGCACTGCATTCTCGACCCTGCGTGTTATGTCCGGAGATTTCGGCTCCATTCTCTGTACCCTGTTACTGACGCTACTGCAAATATAAAACAAAACCCCCAGTTAACGCTTCCTTTGCTCAACTTTGCCTCCCGCCTCGACTCCAGCCAAGGTGTGCGTCACGACGGGTCAAGGAATGTTTGACCCGGCAACTCCAAACGCTTGGAACAAGGTACGACTGCTTCTTTTGTGAAGCTGAAGTATCACTAACTTACAAGATTTTACAGGTCTCAAAGGTGGAGGAGGTTTCATGTGTTTCACATCAACCGGGCGAATAAGCAAGCATTTAGTTGAAACAACTCCAGGAGTCATCCACTGCCATATGTTTGGGGGAAACATTTGTTTGGCAGTTTGGAAAATTCAGAAAGGAATCAACTTGAAAGTAATAAGAGACAAGCACTGACAGAAAGCAGTAGATCCGATAGGGTATGTGAAGTCACTTTCATTGAAGTGTTTACTACACACATGAGGCGTGTCAATACTTTCTCAGTTTTATCTCCTTTGAATAATAATAAAAATTAGACCCTCGTCACAGTGGTAGGTGTTGTACTGGAGTAAGCAGTGGATATTACCTTTTCATTTTCCAGTACATTAGTACTGGGTTAGCAGTGATGTGATTGGACTAAACCATTTCGGAGCACCTCTTGGAGCAGCCAAAACAGTGTTTTGAAGCAGCAAATGTGGCTTTCGGAGCAACCAAAACAGTGTTTCGGAGCAGCAAAAGTGGCTTTTGGAGCAGCCAAGACAGTGTTTCGGAGCAGCAAAAGTGACTTTTGGAGCTGATATTCTTAGAAACAAATAAACCTATTTGTTTTAAGTGCTGTACAAACGAAGGGCACTTTGTGTTGTGTTCTGATGCGACGTGTTGTGACGTAACTCGCTGGTTGTGTTTTTACTGCTGACACATCCAAGTGTACAGTGCTGTAGGCATTGCCGAGCAATTCCGAAAAACCGCTTGCCACCGTTTTACTGATTCCCGACGTGCCAGATTTTCGTCAAAAGTAAGCAAACGTAAAACAATGGATTGCAAGCGTCCCGGCTGGTGCCTCTGTCTTGCAATCATATTCGCTTGCACGTGATGGCAACTTCGGCAGGCTTGCAGTTGCGTGTGCTTCGTCGCGCAACCGGAGACAACGGCTGTTTGATCGAAGCCGAAACCACGCCACTCTGCTCCGTCGCCGACCGATTCCCAAAATTGTATGCAAAATGTAACTGTCAAGCACACAACCAAAAACAGTCCAGCGGCGCATGCTTGACAGGCCGACAAACAAGGTACAAGCTAACCACACACACACACACGAAAAAAAAAAAGAACCTGTGCTTATTGATCAAACATTGCAAGCCAGGGTCAAAAAGTTTTTGAAGCGCCTTGTGCAACGACTGAACTTGAGACAAACAAGCGCGCTGTGCGAGTTCAGCGTGCAGACATTGCGTTTTTTGCTTTAGCTCACTTCTATTCACCAACTTTCTTTCGCGGCAGATTTTTCACTTACCGGGGGGTCTCTTTCGAAAGAAAGCCCACTGAGAGAAACCTAGGTAATCAATACTTCAACACAGGAGTCTTTTGAGTTAAAGAGGGATTTTTGTAGTAATGTATGATTTAAACAAGAACAGGAATGTTGATGAACATGCGGCGGTACTTAGTTTCAGTTTAGAAAGCGCCATATCTGCAGTGACGAGGGGATGGCAACACCCGACGTCGTGCAACCGCGGTGACTGGAAGGAAGGGACCAAATACAGTTTTCCCACGGCCGTGCTTTCAGGAGCGAGTGGTTCAGCTCACAAAGTTACTCCCGCCGCGCAAAACCGTTGTTTCATTTCACAGCATGACGCATGGCTGGTACCCGGCAAGCTAGCGTCGGAGCGTCCGCACTCGCCCGCATCTATCGTTAAGAAAAAAAGAAAAAAGAAAAAAAGACGCGAGACGAGATTGACGAGACGACGAGAGTGCGAAACACGAGACGGCAGGAAAATTATGCAAGACCGGATAGAGAAGTGATGCAGAGTACTTTGTGTCGGGCGGCCACTTGCACCACATAACACCCGCATGCTGAATTAAGGTACTTAGTTCAGTTTCGGTTTTGAAAGGTTTTTGGCACAGGCTTGGCGCAGATTGCCCATATTTTGGCAAAATGTAGCAGATTGAAGCACATCACATCACTGGGTTAGAGAGCAGTGCACTACCATCCCGGAACTTCGACACTTCAGCACCAAGAATGTTTCCTCAGCACGATTTCAGGCTTTGGTAAAATGTCATACCACAGATACACATCACCAAACAAACACAATGCATGAAACTGGTTCTCTCGCATTACCCAAAGGAACGAAGCGAGCTGACGAGGCGAGGAAACTACGCCGTCTGTTACACCTCTCCTACTTGCTAAATCACAATTGATGATGAAGATAGCAAGAGATGCACCCCTGATGTAGTTTCGTACAAAAGCAGCCGCTTCCGGTGGCTGGAACGACTAGGCCATCCTCTCGACGTCAGCCTCGCCGTAGCTTTGCTCGTCCCGAGACGACCTACGTCACGATTGCGTCGGATGTCATGTGCTCTAAGCTGGGCCTTCTCCAATCTCTTGCTAAAGTGGGCCGTTTATAACGAAAAATACAGCCACCAGGCTCAAAATACAAACGTGCGATTGTCATTTACGGATATTGTGGATCATACTCAACCTATTTTTGAACACGACGGGAATATTTCAAATTTCGTTGAAGTATCCTTTTAAAAGTGAAGGAAACAAATGACACACCGTAGACGGAAAAGAAGCTGCAGCTCTCCACGTGCAAATAGTTTCTCCTGACAAAAGAAACCGAACCGGGTTTGAAACGTTCAACTTCTAACTGTTCAGGACTTGGTTGGTTATCATCCGGATTTCTTTAAGAGAGGTGCGTGCAATGATGCTCCTAATGACACATAAATATCGCGAATAGACAATATATTTCTAATTTAAATCACATTTGGACATCAGATTGCACGAGCTCAAAACTTCCCAGGATACAGTATACACTAAAGTTATATTCAGTTTTACGTGCACTTGTTATGGGGCCTCATTTTGCAACTCTGTGCTTTATCAGTCATGCGCGCTCTAACATTTCATTAGGCTGCCGCATATCATCGCGAGACTGCTATATATACTGGAGAAGAGGGCAGCTTCTGAGTAGTTGACGTAGCCTTTCTGACGGTGAAATCATAGGTATCCTCTTTGACAGCGAAGATGACGGGACGTCTGGTGATGATGATGACTTTTCGGAGCCTTCTGCCGACGACGGGAGCGATTCCGACAACAGTTCTGAGTCAAAATCACAACAAGATAGCCCTGGTTGTGTGACACCTAAACGACCGAGAGTGGAGGAGTGGACCTGGGCTGATAACGACACCTCCGAAAAAAATTCAAAAAATGCCTTTTTCGGGATCTGCGGTACTTGAACGCAAATCAGTGCAGCCCTAGAACCGAGCCAGACCCAGCGTGGTTTTCTACGACTCCAGGAAAGATCAAGTTCTGCTTTTCCTTTGTGCATCTTGATGAGCCAAGTGAAGAAAAGTACCATAAACGCCTGCTGGTCAGAACCCCGTTCTTCAGGTCACGAAGGCCGAGAAAGCACTTTTGGATGCTGTCGAAGTACCTCCATTTGTTTGACGTGAAGGCGATGGGGACAGACGACAAGCTTTGCAAGCTGCGCCCAATATCATCGACCACAGTGTGAAAGCATTTCCAAGTGCTTACTCTGCTCGTGAGAACCTAGTCACAGAAGAGAGCTTGATGAAGTTCTGTGGACGCCTGGCGTATGTCCAGTTAAACCTTTCAAAGTGGGCTCATTTTGGAATCAAAATTTTACAAGCTTTGTGAATCTTCTACTGCCTCAACTTCTCCATTTACACAGGCAAGGAGACAAAGTCAGATGCGACCGTTCCAATGCTACGCAGCGAAGCAATTGTTATTGAGCTCCTTAGAGACCATCTTGGTAATGAACATACCATTTACTTAAACAACTGGTGCTCCTCACCACATCTCTTCCTGACCATCAAAAAAGGTGGATTGAACGCTGTTGGAACAGTCAGAGCAAAAAGAAAGAATATGCCAAAAGATCTGAAAGCACTGAAGCTGGCCAAGTGTGAATGCGAAACTTTATTCTCACATGGCATCATGGCTATTCAGTGGCAAGATCGAAAGCCTGCTGCCATGCTTTCACCATGCAACGGTGCTGCTGGCATCAATGACACCGGAAAGAGACAACACAGAGGAAATGAATCGGTACTGAAACCTCTAGTCGTGCAAGAGTACAACATAGGAATGGGAGGTGTCAACCGGCAAGACCAGCAGCATGCATCGTTTCTGATCATTCGTCACTACGCAAAAGGATACAAGATTTTCTTCTACATCCTTGACATGGCTGTGTACAATGCCTACGTTCTTTATGCGAAAAAAACAGGAGAACAGGGAAGCTATACTGTCTGGAAAGTGGACCTCTCAGAAGAAATGATCGAGGCGACAGCTCTTCCCGCATACCGGAGACGAGGAAAACAGCCAGTCTGACCGTCCCCAATGCGCCTTGAGGCCGCAGAGTGGGCGCACTTCCCCTGTCAGATTCCGCCCAACCCCGTCAAGCAAACCCCATCAAGGCAGTGCCAAGTGTGCAAGGCACAAGGCAAGAAAAATGAAAGTGAATGGGAGTGCGAGAGGTGCGGCGCAGCTCTCCACATGTCCGAATGCTTCAAGATCTTTCATACAAAAAGAATCTGCGAGTGCCCTGTAATTTGTAGACTCGAACGGACCACTTAAAGGAGCTGTGCAACGATTTTAACGTTGAAGGAATTGGCATTTTCTGCTTTTGATATTGTTCACTGTGTCACAAATGGCAGAAAACACACCTCTTTTCATCGCAATGTTGCGATTCCGCCGCGTAATAGCGAGGCAAAACTTGGAATATTTCCCGACCTGCAGCCACGAGCGGCGGCCATGAGAAACAAGCGGCGTGACGTCACTTGGGTCGTTGTAAGAAAGATAGCAAGTTGTGCGAATACCTGCTCGATAAAAGGTAACTCTTTTTACAAATCTTGTCGTTCCAACATATATATAAATGCGTCAACACCCTGGTATCATCGACAAAACTTTTATTATACGGAGTTTTAGTGGCGCCATCTATCCTAGGTCCACAAAACCGCGAACAGCCGCCAGAAGCCGGAGGGGGAGGGGGACAGCGCCACACTGGCAAGGACGGGTGGTCACGCGGTCGGCAGCGGATGAGTTCTCGCTGCTCGCTGATGGCTCTAAAGAGAGAACTTTTCCGGAACTCCGCGCCTACTCTAGTGACGTCACTGTGCACGTGACCCGGAAGACGATGCACGAGTTGAGAGGCGGCAAAAACCTGGATCTTTTTCATTTTTTTAAGTAAAAACTAGGGTATCCAGGCAAAATCTGTTTTCTGTAGTTCACTGCAGAAGTGTCAGGCATCAACTTCCACAATTATTTAAGCAAAGCCCTGAAATTGTTGCACAGCTCCTTTAAGCGCGTAAACAAACATGCTTTCCTTGTTTTCTGCACAGAGTCCTACTGTAAAAAACTATTATACAAGCAAAACACTCACACCTAGGGTGGCCTTGTTTAAGGGGAAAAAAATGCCGAATGACTCACCTCTTTGCTTCTTTTGATTCGTGACGTCAAGAATCATGAAATTTAGAAGCTTTGCAGGCAACATTTCTATAACATTTAATAATAGAAATCGTAAAACATGTTTATGTTTTGCACTATGGCCCTTCTTTTTGAAATACCGAAAATCGGAGCCCGTTGTGGTGCCGCCTCCTGGATTTGTATCCTCCCACGAAAAACAGGCGACACCGCTCAAAACCGGTCCGCCGGTGCTCGTTCCTTTCCTCCTTGCTTTGCGTCGCGATGGCAACAGCACGGAGAGGTGAAAGAAAGTGGACTCTCACGACTCCGCAATATTTGACATCAACGCACCGGCGCGGATCGTGCGGGAACTTCGAATTCTGCATTTGGAAATTGTTTTTTTACTTCACAAATACTGAATTCCCAAGTTTCGAATGTTGAGGGTAATGTCCCGGCATCGTTTTCAATCGTTTCGGAAAATAAAAAAAGATATGATTTTGATGTGTCAGTGCCCCTTTAATAATATTTAAGTCTTAATATCTCTGCCCTCGTGCGATTTGTCTTACGACACATCTTTCGAAATGAGCAAATAAAAGAGTGCCCGATTATAATGTCAAAGAATGTGCCGTGCTCGATTTGACAGATGAGCAGAGTTGCGACCAGCTCGTGTGGTTGTTTTCTAGCACACAGACAGTTTGTTTCATAAATGGTGCTCTGACCCAAGAACCTGCTACACGTACAAAATGCACCTCAACAGCTCCAGCTCCTTGTAGTTTAAGGACACCCTTCTGACCCCGAACGTGATATTTTCACTAGCACAAACTTGTCTTTTACTTTGTGGTATGCGACAATAACACCATTGGGACAATGGAGAATGAGTTCGCTGAGTACACGTATGTTTAGAAGAAACAGGCAATCTAATCACTTTAAAAAAAAGCTTGGAAAAGGCTTAAGCTTCGCCTCTAAGAGTGGAATGCGATAGCGTTATCGGGCCTTGTTCGCATCGCCTTCTCATGCTGGGAGACGCGAGTACGCTCAAAGATCGTGCCTCCGGATTGTCCTGTCACTGCTGTCGCCGCATTTCGGCTTCACGGGCACGCATATACCGTAGTTTCACGAATATAACAATTTTTTTTTCTTCTTCTCGAAATTACGTGCTCCAAAACGCACCTTGCGTTATATTCGGAATCGGGTTCAGCCACGAGGCATGCAAGTCTGGAGAAAGCCATCCCTTCGGCTCAATGCAGGAGATAGGGTGAAAAAAGGAAGTGGGGCTGTGGGAGGGAATTTATTAGCTATTGGGCCATGTGAAGGGTGGAATAGAAAACATAAAAAGCATTTTTATTGCTAATGTGTTTGTACAATGCATGCCAAAAAGCATGCCAGAGAAAAGCAGCAAGCCACACGAAAATGCGGGAACCGGCCAATTAAAGCCAAGTCAAGCCAGGCCAAGTCAACATAAGTCAAGCCAAGACCACTGATGCCATTTTCGAGTGTTTGCTCCAGAGTGGTCTGGTGTTTGTGTGTCGGTGCTTCTGCTGGTGCCTTGCTTCGCTTGTGGGCTGCTGAGGAGCTCACGACGAAGAAAAAGGAACTACCAGACAAGCAGCACCGTGCTGCTGCATATCTGCGTCGTCGCCAAATGGATTGCGAACGAAACTGCCCTCGCGTTATATTTGTGCAAATACGGTAAACATATAAACTCCCATTGTTTCTCAAGCTGTGCAAGCGTGCCTTTCGTGGCCTAGTAAGTAGCGTGTCTGGCCCGCAACCGAAGAGTTGTGGGTTTGAATCCCGCCTAAAATTCGTCAAATGTTTTCTTCAAGGCAATTGAATTACTTTATAAAGTGAAATCTTTTGAGATATGCAGCAACCTTTAATTCACATTGCATGTCATGTTTTAATCACTTTCATTCCATGCGCAACGTCACGTTTCCCATGAGCGTTGTGGGTTGTTTGAAATTCCTGCGCGAGGTCACGTGGCTGTGACACTATTGACCAATCAGGATTTTCCCGTCACGCCACAGACGCCGGCGTTTTTGTGACACGAGACTCTTAACACTATCGCGTTAAAAGAGTCATTCAGCTGGAGAGCGATAGGTAAATAAATTGAGAGGAAAGAACGAAATTCCGAATGTCCCCCAAGGGGAATCGAACCCAGGGCTCAAATATTGGGAACCCAATACTCAAACACTGTGCCAAGGGGGAAACCTCTGCGAGCGAAGAAATGCGATAACATTTCTTTCGTCAGCTGACACCGCAGAATGTGCAACTTGCACAAGCAGGTGGCTTCAAATTTTGCTTCAGCCACACGAGGACTGGTGCAGCTGAGGTGCAATCAAACACAAGGAGCTCGTACTTGTGTCCACAATTGTGCAGGGACTACACAACTTCCAACAGAGGGCACGCTCTCGAAAGGGGCCTATGATGGAAGTTATACGCTTGCTGGAAGCACTTCTGTGGTCTTCCTAATGCCGAGAAGAAAGAAGCAAACTGAAGAAGACATCGCTGAAGAGAAGCGGAAGCCCAGAAAGGCTCTTGCCTGCTCGTCGTGCCCATGAGATGCCGGAAAAGAGTGAACAGCATTTGGCTAAGGACAGAGAAGCAAAATGGGCTTATTTTGCTACGACCTGGGGCAGAATGAGGTAACAAGGTTTGTGTCAGTTTAATAGGCGGAACATGATCTTAATAGAAGAAACACCGAAACAACGTAGCCTGCAGCAAGGCACAGCAGAAATGCGGCCCCATTCTTTGGCACAACACTGAGCATCATGGCTCTTCCAGTGACGACGTTGAGGGTGCTTTCAAGGCTCAGAAGATGAACAGAAAGGAGTGCACCAGCTGAGCGATGAAAATTAGAATGTATAACTGCACCTCTTAGAACAAGATTATATTTATTCAAATGAGCGATTTTAACAAATCTCATTTTTCTTGATTCCATAGGTGTGTGTGATACTGAATAAATAGTGGGTGTCCACTGTAGCGCTTTACTGTTTCATCTTTTTTTATTCAATGGAGTGCCTCTCCACATAGGTGCTCTGAAACCGTCAAACTATCTAATTAACAAATATAAACGAAAATTACTGCTATAAACCACCTGCCAATTAAAAAATATAAACACCACAAACACAAAACTCTTGATATAACCTACCTCAATGCAATGCCCCCCTCTTCCAGGAGCACATGGTAGTCTTTTGATATCTTCTTAGTAAAGTCGGACAACAATGGGACATTCACCTTTCCCAGGCCTCCAAGCTGCAAAACAGACCAGATAATGCCAAATTACCTTCCGAACAAACTTTTGCCAGGTTAATAAAATTAAACACGGTCCTTTTCCCCAATTTAACAATTGGTAAATGAGCAAGTACTACGAGCAGCAAAGTGCAAGGAGCTTCAACGTAACTGGTAAACGCTCTTCAGGATGGAGGAAGGGAGGACTAAACTAAGATGACAAAGATGCGAGACACATGTAGACAGAATTTACTCCCATTCAAGTAATGCTATTCGGTGCATAAACTTTACCAATTAATGAGTTATACAAGACACTATTCTCTTCTCTCCTGTGAAGAAGCTCGAGCCCATGCAAGTTTACTTGATTTGAGTACACAACTCCTGGGAGGTCCTGAAACAATGCAATCATTCCCCAAATTATTCAAATTAGGAGTCTTGTCACATTTAAGGGGGGACATGGGCCTAAATTTTAAATTTTTTTGAAAAGATTCATTTTTCAATTTTGAGGTTTTCAGTTTTAGAAACTAATTATACACCCTTACACCAAATTTGATTACCATACACCAAATAGTTATGTTGATATAAAATAATTTCAACATGTTGTGAGGCAGTAACAAAGTAAAGGAGTTTAATGTTTGAATGCATTTTTCTCAGATCCACTTTTTGCTGCAAATTTCATACGAAGGAATCTTTTGTTCGAAGGTTAAAGTATTCTGATACCACAATCAAGATGTTTCTAAACTGAAATTTACTGGGGAATTGGGCTATCTACTTTATTTTGTTTCAAGTCGAAGTCCTCAGTGATAAAAAAACTAAATTTTCAAAAATTGACATAGGACAGATATGCATCTCATATTTTGAGGTAATAACTCTTCCTGAAATATTTATGTTTCAGTTATTAAAACTAGATAGCCCAAGGTCCCATATTCCCCTCATTATACTCAAGCAGTCAAAATGATGCTTAATAGCTTCATTTGCATATCATAGATTTCTTAACGAAGAGTGACACATCATCTTATGCAGGTATGTAAATTTGCACTAGAGAACTGAAAGTTTGCACAGTATACCTACATCTGAAGTTAAATCTCCCCTGCAAATTTCATTCCGATCACTTGAGTAGTGGTATGAATAGTGGTATGAGTAAGTAGTGCCATGAATCCATAGTGCTCACCGTTGTGGCTAAAGCAATGGGCATGTGCTTATTTGTAAACACAATCTTGAGTAACTGTTATGAATTGCAATGTAACGAGCTAAAAGGTTGTGGGAAGACAGTTGAAGAAATGACTGGATTGTGGCTGCTGCAATAGGACAAAAGCTAGAGTCTACTACTTCTGGTAAGATCACATGATTGTCATGAAAGCAACCTCTCTATACGCCTCGCAAGTGGGCTCATTTTCGTCTTCTGCGCATGAGAAAGGATCGAAGTAGTGGTGACGTCAGAACGCCGAGCCCTGATTGCCTGATCGCAACCCCCTATCTGAGCGTCGTCTGCTCCTTTGCAACGTCGTCTGCTCGCAACGTCGTCTGCATCTGTCTTACCGTTCCTGCGACTTTACAAGCGAGCTCGACTTCACCTTTCAGAGAGGGCAGACGAAATAACTCGAGCGGTACGTTGTTTTTGTCTAACAACTAGCAGACGCGCATCAAGGACAGAAGTCAAAGGTGGCGAGGTGTCTTGAGGCGCCGAGGTTTGTTTGCTAAGAACCGACAGTGAGCGTGTTAGTGTCCGCAAGTTCCCTCCCAAATACTTTTTCCCTCCTTTCGTGTGCGGCGAGACTCCTCAATTTTTAACGGCGTCAGCGGGTTGGCGCAGTTAACGTCGTCTGCTTTACGTCTGCTAGTCAAAGCGATGGCTGCTTTACCTTTCCTCCGTCTGTCGGAGATTCATCGCTTTTTCACCGGCGAGAGTCACCGTTGCCTCGGGAAACAAGGAGATAACAAGAGGAAGAAATTGACCTCTTAATCTAAAATTGAGGTCAGCGATCAAAGTATAATACGGGAAGGGTTCACAACGGTCGCGCGGGCATATTCCATTCAGCACGCCAGCCGGTCGTGGGCAGACGGTCGCCGAGTCGCGGAGTGCCTGCTAGGCCTAACTGCCGAAGCTCGCTTGGTCGCGTTCGGTGGAATCGTGGCCATTGGAGCTTTTCCTGGGCGTTTGTGGATCCAGCGTTCTTGTTGGTCGTGGTCTGTTTCAAGTACTTTTTACTTTTTCTTGCTGCTTGAAGTCGGGACGCGTGAGAAGCGCACGTAGAAAAATAAATGTCCGTGGGTCGTCGCGACCGCGACGCTGTCGGCCATGCGAGCTTCGGAGCTGTCGTAGGATTTCGTCGTAACCTGCGCAAAACGTACGAAAATTTCGTTTTGTGAATACGAATTCGTTCTTAAGTTCTGTCTTACGCACATTTTTGGCGTAAGATCGTTTCGTGAATCTGGCCTTCCGAAAAGTCGCAGGAAAGGTAAGACAGACGCAAACGACGTTGCAAACAGACGGAGTTGCAAAGGAGCAGACGATGCTCAGATAGGGGGTCGTGATCAGCCAATCAGGGCTCGGCGTTCTGACGTCACCGCTACCCCCTGCGCAAGAAGCAGACGAACTTGCCCTCCGCATAGCGATGCACTTACACTGCACTGGCTGCATCAAGCACTAACAAAAACACAAAGAGAAGACAAGACAATCACTTGTCCCGTCCTCATTTTCTTGCCTTCGCGCTACTTATTGATGACCAATATTTTCATAAATATGGCAGTTCTCCATGCCATGAAAGACTCAAAATAAATTGTTGCACGAGTTTATTCCTGTCTATAGCAAACCTCAAGAAGGTTTCTGCATTTCTGACTGCAGTCCTCTGAAAAATGTATAAATGGAGTTATACAGCATTTATTTATTAAACTTAGAGCTAATTAGTATAACATAAATACTTAAAGTTAGCTTCTTCTACAACTTCAACAGTGTGAAAATATTTTTTGCATGTCAACATTTCAAAAGGCTATCAAAGAAAAGTACTTTGATTGGTAATTTCTTGAAGTTCTATTAATTATAAGTTTTGATTCAAGGTCACGCCTTAACCACATAACACCCTGAGTAGTGTCCGACTTTAAACTGGCTGTCTACCAAACGTCTTCAAGCTTGCATTGAGCAGTACTAAAGCAAAGAAAAATAGGACAAGTGCTACAAACACTAAGAGTATGCCAAGGTAAACTTTCGGCATTTGAATCACCCATTGTGCAGACTAGTACTAGTGTGAACATGTTACATACAAAACAGCCAAATCGCCTTCCACATCTCCTGTACTCCAAAGCGAGAATCACAAGCCAACCCGCGCTACTTGCTTAGAGATGTGCCTTTCAAGCACGAGCGCTCATTGCACCAAAGCACATTTCAAGGCGGAAATATTGTGCTGTAGCCTTCGTTGCCTTGTAAGCTTAGAGACACAAAACTCCCAAAAACATTTTTTTAAGTGCCTAAACAAACACATATGTCAACAAAAAAAAAAAAAAAAGTTTACCCTAAAAATTCTTCTTTACTGTACCATTGACAGTGAAATGCAATTTAGGTGACGGTACGCTTTACTCACACCTCACTGCAGGCCCCATCCATTAGTACTCAAATGACCCAACTGCTTGGCTGAACACCATATACAAACTAATGTCTCCCAGCTGGAATGTATGGTTCATCTAGTCTGCGGCTTGACGCCGTCTGCTACTCGTGTAAGCAGCAGTGCCACCACAGCACCTGTCGTCATTTGTTACTTTGCTTTAGTCAGCCATCGTCTACTACTCTGCCACCACCTGCAGCGTCTGCAAGACGTGACCATGAAAACAGTGCTGTAGCATGTCATCATGCACAAGCCATTGTTCAATACAAGTGTGTCAGTGCACACAATCTAAAAAGACTAAAAAGAAAAAAAAAGAAATGAAAGGCATTTACAGTTCCCTGTAATGCCAAATTAGAGCGCGGCTCTTGAGGAGGAGGAGGGGAGGGTACAGAGAGGAGGGCATGCCTCTCCTCCCCTTCCCTCATGAAAGTCGTGACCCTAGTGACGTCACTCGTGACCCCCGTGACGTCACGTATGACGTCATTATGGGAAATTGCCATCATGCAATGTGCGGTTACGCTGACGGCGACGCCGCTGAAGTCGGAAACGGGAGCCTAACCGTTGAATTCACAAACCTAACTCTAATTAAGGGTTCCCCCCCCTTCCTCGAGAAAAGCGCGAGGGCCGGCGCTGGCTAATCGCGACGGTGAATCCGTTGTCGCGATTGGCCACCCAGTGCCGGCCCTCGCGCCTTCTTTGAGGAGTGGAGGGGCCCCTAAAATGGAGTGAGGTTTGTGAATTCCGCGGTAAGAGCTCATTCTAAAAAGAAAATCAACAAAGGAAATCTGCCGCTCATGGCCTCAATGTCGTATCAAAGCATTAAGAATGCATTCCTTTCAGTTTTTTTTTGTTTGTGTTTTCTTCTACAGCCTCTGCAAGCAAGGCAGAGGAGCATCCTAACACACAACCAAAACACGACTGAATTTGCAAACAAGGGCACTGCTCAAAACCTGAACTACAGGCCTCGAAGGCTTTCAGAGGGAAATGATATGAAACAGAATGCCCTTCTCAACAGACCTTCGAGGTAATTCAATAAATACCTGGACAAACCTGAAGCTAGGCAAACAACACCTAATTGCTTCCAGCCAAGTGACTCGCAAATTGCCACCTGTCGGTGTCCTATGGGTAGGACTCTATATTTTCGGAATTTATTTCTCTGACATTCTGAGGGTGTTTTTCGGAGCTTATTTCTTACTGAAAATTTGGGGTTTGTCAGTGTTTATTTTTTGCTGAAAATTCAAGGTTTTCCAGAGTTTATTTCTTGTTAGATTCCCATTTCTTTGAAATTCTGAATTTATTTTATTGTTTCTCAAATTTCTACAAATTGAAAAACAAAATAAATGAAGTCTGGGTAGCATGACCCGTTGTCATGAAGAAACCTTGACAAGCTAAAAAGGCAAACCCCTTTTGTCAGTAGTTCGAGATTTTAAACGAAACAGAAGTTGCATCTCTTCAGGACCCCTTCCTTACCTTGTGCTCTTATGAAGTTTATTTGTAAAACATTCTTTTTCACTTTTTATTTTGTCATTGCAAAATTTGGAGTTTTTCGGATAAATCCGAATTGATGGAAAATCTACCGGTGAGTGGTTTTCCGATTTTTTCAGATTTATCAAAAAAGACGGTACTGGAACGACGGCAGCAATTGTGATACTTGCAGCCCTTCGTTTAGCTGCGGAGTTGCTTTTAAAGGGACCATGAAGGCAATATAATTTTTTTTAAAAAAGGTGTTTTCGGAAGCATTGGGGTCCTGGCATGCCACACAATGTTTTCTAGAACGTTGCGACTCTTATTTCTGTACCTGCAAATAAATTTGCGAAACCGAAACAAACATTCAGATTTCTTCCCTTTTTCACCTCTGGAAAGAGAAGTGACGTCAGGGAGCACTGTCGGCATCGGTAGGATTTAGTGCACACTCAGTGTGGTTCCCGTGGCTCGCTCTAGAGCACGGCGGTCTGTGAAGAAAACCTGAAAGAAATGGACGACAACGCCGCGCTCGCAAACGAGTTTGAGCTCCCGTTCAGCGACCTCACGCCGACTGAACGGGAGATGCTGCGGTATGGGCTCCTTGCGCAAGGAAAGTGAGGGAATAGCGTCTTTCTACAGATGCAAGAACTTCATGTTTTTACCCAGACTCCGGCTGACGTGAAGGTGCTGCTCAAAGTCTTCTGGTCGGAAATGCAACGAACAAATCCTGACACCGCTGTCCACAGCTCTACGCAAGACGACGGCGCGCAACCAAATGCTGCGCATTGCTGCATCGGTCGGCAGTTTATGCAAACTAACGTCGCCCGATCGACCGCACGTCTTTAGCCGACCTTTCGCGCAACCTACTACTGCACATAAACGCGGCATGATTGGTGAGACACCAGTTCGCAAAGCGAACACGAGACGACGCACGAAACCAAAACCAAAAGTCCGCCGCCCCTGGCGCTCGTACCTCTTTTTCTTTTTTTTTTTGTCCATGGTTGCTCGATGCTTGTTACGCGCCCGAGGTAGCAGTGCGGGATGCGTTCAACCAGTGACAAACGGAGGGATCGCTTCAGATTATGCTTTTATACACGGTATGAAACCTATTAATTCCCAACTACAACTTCAAAAGATTGCCCAACGTTCAAATAAAAATTTTTCATCACATCTCACCACCGAAATCGAAACCAAGAGCGCGTCTATCGTTTGAACCAATCGCCAGACGAGGACCCCCGTTGTCGTCACGCTTCGACGGCGCACTTTATTTCACCTTTCTGCCGCCGCCTCGGTGGGGTCTCAGGCATCGTTCCCGGCGCTATTATTACCGTGCTTGTTTGCTCGATTGGTGCGGCACCCAAACTTCTGTTCGAGCTAGAACTTGGTCAACAGTATCTGAGACGTGCCTGACATCCATTTCAATCTTCGAATAAAACTTTGAAACTGCCTTCATGGCCCCTTTAAAGGAACCGACATTGTTATGCAGCATCAATACACCGAAACAGTGATCAAGCCAGATCAGGCAAAATAGCCGACGTAGGATGCTAGGGGCTTTGCCCGTCAAGCTATGAAAACATGCACTTGCGCAGCGCTTCCTAAGGCATGTACTTGCAACAGCTGTTTGCTCCTAGCTATGTCGATTGAGAGACTCTTTCTATAAACAACTCGGTGACTGCGAAACAACTCACATGAATGAAAACAAACGAGCTATGCTGCGTATGGGACTATTCACAAATGCTGGCAGTCACATTTGGTTTGAAATCAGAGGGGAAATGGGTCTTGAAATATTTTTGCAAATAATAATGACTTTATTTAGATCATCAGTTTCTTAAACATAAAACTATGTCGATTAAAACACTACCACAACACACAGCAACAATTTTATAAACACAACAATCATCTCTCTATCCAATGAGAGTTGAGAAAGGTGCTTACAAAAAGAAGCACCTTTCGCTAATGGGTGAAGCCTAGAGCAGGGCGTACCTCCACCAAAATTGCATCTCGCGGCATAAACATTGCGCCAAAGCCCCGTACTGATACTGATGGATGCAAATACGTCGCCAGTCAGTCAGCGTTCCCAAGGGCTGAAACTGTCTTAAACTGCCAAAGCACCTTTAAAGGGCAACTCCGCTTCTTTTCCAGTAGTGCAAAACTATAGTTCTCTTTGTTATCATCTACAAAACCCCCATGGCAAATATTATGACGGAATTCCGCCTAGAAGTTCATTAAAATCACTGTCAAAGTTTGACAAGCACGAATCCGCTGGTTTTGGATGAGACGTGCGGGCCAGACAACACTGCCCGGCTGCATTTCCGGTTCCTCCAAATTCCTTCTCCCGGCACGTCCGCGACGTCATCAAGCATGTACAGCTTCTTTTTTTTTTTTTTTTTTTTTTCAATTTTGTTTTTTTTCTTGGGGAGAGCACGGGTGGCGCCAGCGCCGTGAAAGACGTGAGTGATGCGCTCGGCCGGCCCGGCGCTCGACTATTGATACTACTGATAAGCCGATCGCCTCGTTGAGCGCGGCTTGTGTTACATCGCATACTTTTGAACACCAAGTAAAAGGAGCAGAGGGAAGCTGCTTTTGTAAGAATTTTGAGTGACAGGTTAATTTTCTATAATCTTCTGGGAGGAGAATAGCGACGCCTGAGCTAATCCAGGAGGCACAAAGGAGGATCCTGATAAGAGGGGAGCTCCTTCTTCCCCTTGTATATCACGTGGGTGTACATGCTTAATGATGCCGAATATACAATGTTGTCCGGCTTTGCCACCGTCTCGGTTTTAATTTGTGATCATGGCTAGAGTAAAATTACACGAAAAATATTTTATTTTTCGCGAAACAAAGGATTGGGGATTGTTTTTGAGTGCTTCAAAAAGCAAAATCGGCCACTATCTCAAAATTTTTGAAATTAAGCGGAGTTGCCCTTTAAAGGGGCACTGACACCCCAAAGGTCATATTTTTTTTTATTGACAAAAACGATGCAAGTTGTAGTAGTAGGCACGCAAAAAAATACAACATCGCAAAAAAAAAAATTATGCGCGGGCGCGCGCCTTCTTGTTTTTGTTGCTCTTCTCTCCCGCTTTTCACCTCCTTGCTTCTTTTGAATTGTGACGTCAAATATCATAAAATTTAGAAGCTTTGCAGGCAACATTTTTATAACATTTAATAACGGCAATCGTAAATCATGTTTTTTAACACAATTGCAAACGCACTAGGTCCTTTCTTTTTGAAATACCAAAAATCAGAGTCAGTTGTGATGTCGCCTCTTGGATTTTTATCCTCCCTCGGAAAACATGGCTAATCGGTGAGTCGGGGAATCTGACGAAGTGGTCTTTTTGAGGTGCCAGACGACCTCTCAGATTTCGAAAAGGAAATCGTGAAACGGTCAAAACAGCTGGGTTTGGTGCCTGTGTATCATAGTTTTGGTTGTGACTCTGCCGGGACAGCCTTTCACGCAGAACCGGCAGGACGTCAAGCGTTGTCTGCTCGCAGCGATAGGCAGGCGGCACGGCACGCCGGAGGGAACCGGTTTTTCCCGGAACGTCGGCGCCCTTGTCTCCCGCTTCTCACCTCCTCGCTTTGAGTCGCGGCGGAAACGGTTATACACACACACAATCGGAGCTGAGGCATGAAAGAAAGTCAACTCGCAGGGCCGCTCAATATTTGACGTCACTGCACTGCCGCGGATCGCGCGGGAACTTCAAATTCCGCATTTGGAAATTGTTTTTTACTTCACAAATACTGAATTACCAAGTTTCGAATTTTGACGGTAAAGTCCAGGCATCATTTTCAATCGTTTTGGGCTAATAAAAACAAATATATAATTTTGACATGCCAGCACCCCTTTAAGGATATCAAATGGTGTTGCCCTGCAGAATATAGCGGCCACATCTTCACCTCATATTTTCCGTTCTGCGCCAGTCAGATAGTACCTTTGTGCATTTCTTGCCATAAAGCAACATTTCTGTAACACCAAACAACAGATTCCAAAAGAAGCATGTTCAAAGGATGTCGAAAGAATCGGTTACCTTCCTCGGAGTGTTCGTCCATGCCAAATGGGTACTGTAGGAATCCGTAGATACGGCAACGATTTCTGCGTTTATGCTGCGGAAGTCCGCAGCCCTCTCGCTGTACTCCACCAGTTCGCTGGGGCAGGCAAGAGTGCTGCAAAAATAAACCCAAGGCGTGTCAAAATCACGAGACATACTCTCGCTCGGAAAAAACAAAAGGGGGGGGTGGTTTAGCTTTATTAAGGTAGGCCACACAACTGCTTGAAATCCAGTTGCCTGTTCACTCAAGGACATTACAGTATGTTTCCTCTACCAAATACGGAGCACAACATAGCATAAAGATACAGGTGAACTTTCTTATTCCTTCTCCAACCGAGCTAGAAGGTTGTATCAAAACTGCTAGTTTAGTGGGATGCACTTACTGTTTGGGGCATCTACTTCGGCGGTACATTTTGTCATCCACCACTAAACTGCATGGCTGAAACGTGAACAAATTCCAATGTTCTGCCAACTGTGTCGCCGAGCATATGTGTGACACTTTTATTTACATTTTGTATCTTTCTGTTTAGATCACTCAAGCCTCGACTAGGGACGGCTTGGCTTATAAGGAGGGTTCTGTGTTTTCGAGATTCATCTTTCTTCAAGTTCAGGGGCATTTTCTCTGGGTTTATTTTTTCCCACAAATTCCGGGTTTTTCAGTCTAAATTTTCAACGTCCCAAAAATCGGCGTTTATCGGGGCTTCTGCTGAAGAAGACAAGACTAAAACTCCCCAGCCTCCAAGCAGCATGTGCATAGCCCAAATATGGTATAAACTCGTTACAACAGATATTTGGATATAACATACTGCTTTCACAAGTTCAGTTAGTTTTCCTATCTGTACCATTGGTTCAACTTCGTATCTGCATACAGCATACCCCTTTTACAACAGGCTCAAATCTTGGTCACAATCAAGGTCTATTATAACCCATTTAGACCACCGGAAAATGTTTCAGTACTGATAAGAGAAGGAAATGGGACCATGGGTGTGGATCCCGAGGAAAGTAGCAGCAGCCCCGCAGATAGTTCAGCGTGGGCTGTGTCCTGGATGAACACAGAATAGATAAAGATCTCTCCCTGTAAAGCTTGACAGCTTTAATTCGGCGTTTTTCGGACTTTCTCTAATGGGATAAAGCCAGTTCAAGGGTTAATTTTCGGGGTTTACCGGTATTTACCGAAAACATGGAATTCTTTTTATAAGCAGGCCATAGATTTTCCAGTGTTTATTTAAAACCAAAATCAGAGAATGTTTTTCTGTTCACTTTTTTTAATTGGTGTATTTCAGAAATCAGTTTTTGTGTAAACGGTATACTCCGTTCACACCTAAGCGGACAGTGTGGCAGAAGCCACGTGCTCGTTGGAACCAGTCATACGTCTGCAGCAGCCTAGACTTTCCATTTTCCCCGAGGGGGGGGGGGGTGCTGCGCGCATTACTTTTTTGCCAGAACTGGAGATTGAAGCTAACGAAAGCACGCTGGGATTCCATTTCCCATGCATTTTGTCAATAAAGGCAACGTGGGCGTTATTTTATTTACATGTCACTACTAGAAGCTCGTTACATGGCACGAAAACAGCGTCTCGATAAGGATCATGGCCCAAGCCCAGGAGAGGGGGGGGGGGGGGGGGGGGGGGCTCTGCCCCCCCCCCCCCCCCTTTCCCGGATCTCACCAGGGGGGCATGAGCCACGATGCCCTCCCGAAGTCTACGCCTATGTACGTCTGTCTTTCATCGCGTGATCACGCTCCCACCCGGCACCCAGGCGCCAAGAAAGTGGGGTTAGGTGATGGAGGGCAGGCGGTCAATTGTTCCGGTGAGCATAGGGGTGAACGGAATTTAAAAACGGCAATTATCGGTGAAATAAAGCACAAATAAAAACTAAGAGTTTAATATAATTTACAATTTGTAAACACCCTTATGACGTGTAATCCTTATCAAAAGCACTTGCAAACCACAGATGAGTGTGACCAAGGGTGAAAGTTTGAGTGCTCTTTACGTAATGATCCAGAGCTTGTTGTTTTCTTTGCATCCTCCTACCCTTCTGCTCTGCATAGCAACAAAAATTGAATTGTTCTCGAGCAAACTTTTTGCGGCACAAGGAAGGCAAGTTGCTCTTGCTTCCTTCTCATGATTCAAGCGATCGCGACCCCCAGTCTAATTTCGAACACTGTTGACAAGCTTTGAACTGAATAGAACAAAAACATTGCAGCATTTTGTGGTGACCGACTGACTGACCTAACTCTCATGCCTTAGTCCTCCAAGGTCAGTGATTCCACTGATTCGGGACTGGCAAGAAGCTTAATTCTGTGCAAGAGTACCATAATATTCTGAGATAGCACACTTAAAATCGAAAGAAAATCGGGTGGAAATGAGGAGTAAACAAACTTTCAGTGTGCGATACAAAAAAAATTGAAAAATGCTAGTTTTAGATACCGTGACCTGCAAAACTTGTGATGACAGGGAGGGGCAATGAACCAAAACAACTGCCCTTCCCAGTCAGAAATGTTTGATTATCTCCCGCCGTGGCTAAGTAACATAACTTTTGCAAAGGTCACCATTGGGCAGGGCCCTGCCATTATTAGAAGTGGGCTATCTTTCAATGTTTTTTTAATAGAAAGCAAATCGTGCCAAAAATAGGGGCGGATTATCTTTCGGGAATGGGGCATCTCTCGGGACATTACGGTATATGTCTGTCGAATGTCTTAAAGAAAGATTTTGCGATAAGAACAGCCTCCATGCACAAGAATTTCCGCAAAGTGGTGCTTTTCAATTGTAAGCGATTTTGTAGTTTCAACACTGATGGATGTTTGTCGGTGCCTTTCAGTTAAAACTGGAAAATCTGTGGCCTGTTTATAAAGCTAAAAAATACTCTGGTCTTCAGCTGCATGCGAGTTTCAACCGCTTACACACGGCGGAGGTTCCATCAATGGCAGCACTTTCGCTAGAATAGCTGAGAAAACGTGCCTCTGTTTTTGAATGACCCATACATGGGCTATGAATATGACTTCGAAACTTATACTCCACTGTCATGGCTCCTGGCAAACCTTGCTTCCCTCAGTTTTTACAGTGAAGCTGTTTATGGCTAGGGTTCTATGGACTTTTCGTGTGCGTCGACAAAAACTTGGGTCCCAAATTTAATGCAAAATTGCTCCATTCTATGCAAATGCTTATACGTCTCATCACTTGGATATGCATTTTCAGTAGATTACCGTAAAATACCGGGCAAGCGCCCACTCAAACATTGAAGATAATCACAAACAAATGGGGGATGGGCGCTTGCCCGGTCATCAATTTTACATATAAATATACTGTGCGTATCTTCTCAGATCTTACAAATTTGGCAATGGGCGCTTAATGCGGAAGGGCGGATGCGCGGTATTCTATGGTAGTTATCAATAGGCACCATTTTCAAAATCAGTAAACTCTTAGGTAGATAATAAAGGTTTCTCACAGATTTGCCGCTGTGCGACCCACGTCAGCCAAGTCTACACTTGCACCGCCATCTCTTTGTTGCCGTTCCAAGCCCGCTTGCGTGCCTAGTTTCCTTTCCTTCCGCTCTCCCGGGGTGGCAATCTCGTCGCGCGTGTCACCTTTCCGCCGGGTGGCGGTCCCGTTGCACGTGTCTAGTTTCCACAGATAGTTTGCGATAGCTTGTACCTTTGTTCGGCGATAGTTTGTACCTTTGTTCAAAATTCCATGTCATGTCTGTACCGCGTGCTAAACAGCTTCGCTGGTCATCCACCTACACAGAGTGGAATGGGTCATGATTTTTTTGTTTTTGTTTTGCAGAAGCCTCATATCATTGTTCTTTTTTTATTGCGGTGCTGTCACTACTCTAATAGGACATTTCTGTCTCCTTCTCAAAATGCTTTATCCATATGTTCTACCGAATATTTGTTAGTGTCTCGCATACTGACTGCAAGACGGCCTCACACGTAAGACTCCAGAAAAGCCGCGACTGCAAAGTCAAGGCATTTTCCGGGGACTTGCTTGCGAGGCCGTTTACAGCTATGCCTGAAAACTGTGCTGCCCTTGCCTCTATTGAGCACCCTGGGCACAGTGTTTCTACTCAATGTATTGCTTTGATGCCTGGAACACGTCTCCCACTGGTGTGTTTATTGCGTGCTCAAAAGTGGGCCCTCCATTTCCACCCAACGGACGCCCCAAACGTGCCACGCTGTAGCCGGTCACTACCCTGACAGTGTCACATCAGCGATGGGGAAGGTGGCAAACGGCTGTTCTGTTGCAGGTTGCTTTTCAGCTTGACAGTCCACGGAAGCTTAAGCAGCCAGAACTTGGGACACTGTGACGATAGCAACCCTCGTGTTCGCTCGTGCTTTTCGCCAGCACTTATACAACCAACTGCCAGGATCGCAACATCCAACAGCATGACACTCCGGCCTCTATGACGTCATTTGTTGCCGTTTGAGGACCACTTTGGATGCATGGGCAGAATAGGACGATAGACACACCAGTCGGAGACGCACTCGAGGCACCACAGTATTGCTACGAAATCTTTAACTTCTGTACTCCTTTTTATTTTGGAAGAGCGTCTTTTGAAACATTTTCTCCACATTGTGAACACAAACAAAAGCGTGTCAAGGTGTAAAGCAAAACAGGCTGCCAAACAAAAAAAAAGTGTTTAAATTGGTTTTTAGTGTGAAATGGCTTTAACTTACAAGTCTTGTGGGTAGAAGAACAGCAGCAGGAACTTCCCGTGGTAGTCGCTGAGTTGAATTTCACGGATCTGGTTGTCGACCACAGCGATGCCCCTGAAGTCGGGCGCATAGCTCTGCACTTGGGGCGAGCGGCTAGGCACGGGCGACGGCATCACTGCTGCGGGAGAAATGGGCAGAAATGAGAGAGAATCTGACAGCTAAGTCTGAAAAGCCATTGCTTCTTGGACTTCCGGGAGAGTAGGCATTATCGTTCGGCTATCTTTTCATTTTATAATGTGGAGACACCCGCATGGTTTAGGAGTACAGAGGTCGCAGTAGCAAAGACAAAAAGTGCCTTTAAAGTTGCCACATATCCCAGACTATGGGCAGGTTGATTGGCTTCTGAAAAAGGTCTACACGTCAGCTTTCCCACAGGGCTGGTGGAATGCCAATCATCACGCTCTATCGAAGAAGTCCAGCAAAAGGTGAGGTCCTTTAGCTTAAAAATTGTAATCTACCCTGGAACACTTCGCCTGGCATTGCATGTGCCACGAGTCACGGCTTTAGAAGGTATTTTTGGGTTTAGAAAGACACTGAAAAGCTATACCTATGCTTCCCAAGATTTCTGCTGAAACAAGATTACAGGGTGTCCCCAAAACAAAAATTTACAGGGTTTTTCTTACCACAAAAATGACCTATGCATCGCTGAACGCTCATTCTCTACCCACACGTAACATTAGCAATCAGAACCAGGTGTCGAAGTTTCAGAACTAACTGTTATTTCATTCAAAGGTTATAAGTGATCTTCTGATATTTTCAACAAGATGATGGGTCCCTTTCTTGGTAACTGGTGCCATTAGCTTTATGATTCAAGGCCTTCGTCGGCCACCATTTTCCTATTGAAAATTTGAGAAAATAATTATTAACTTTTTTTTAATCAAAAAACGGTTAGTTCTGAAACTTCGGCGTCTGGTACGAACCGCTATGGCTACATTTGGCTGGATAAGGAGCGTTTGGCGATGCGTGATTTATTTTTGCTATAAAAAAAACCTAGTTTTTTAACACCCTGATTGGGGGGGGGGGGGGGGGGGGGGGGGGGGCAAATATAAGAAAACGGATATTTGCAGTTCTAAATAGAAGCCTAGCTGGTTCATTTCCACCCTTTAAGCAAAGGCTAGGGTCACGAGTGCTCCCCAAAGCACTTCCAGTGTATGGGCATGCAAGCAGTAGGGCTTCATTCCGAGCTTGTGCCGAGAGCTCTGTGGGTAGATGCCTGTGCATGCATACACAATGAAGAATGTCGGGCGTCTGAGGAAGGCAAATCAGAGACCGATCTCACCCGCCACTGGAGGGCTCCGCCGCTGGGAAGGCACGGTGGGCAGCGTGGTGCAGGGGAGTGGCCGTGACAGCTCGTCCTCGTGCACCTGAAAGGAGTTGTCCGACTGCAAAAATGCAAAGATGAGTGACCCGCCAACCCAGCAGTGTATAGAGTCCAGGGCCACAAACCTGGTCTGCAGAGGGCAATTCCACCACCATGTCCGGTAGCACCTGTGCCTCAGCCTGGTTGGCGAAGCCCAGCAGCGCCTTGACGTCCTCCACCGCCTTGACGGTATCCCGGTGGTGCTTGGTCTTGGCATGCTTTTCCAATTCACTCTTGCCTGCTCTCAGGTCCGCATTACAGAGCTTGCACTTGGCGCGGTACGGGTCGTCCGGCACGCTCACTAGCCAGTTTTTGAAGCGGTCGTCCAGCAGCCACGACTCGCGGAACTTTTGCTTGTACCACTTGATCGAAGACGCCGCTGAGGTCTCACCACCCTTTCGTTTCCCGCGTCGGGCCTCCGCTGCGCCGTCAGCATCCTGGTTGCTGTGCAGCGGCACAAGCGCCGTCACCGGTTCTTCCATGGACTCTGCGAAGATAGGTTCCAAACATGCGTCGCCATCGTCGTGGGCACTGCCGACGCTCCGAGGTTTAAATCCCCACCGAAGGGCGGGGGACGAGTGCTGCTACGTCAGAATCAGTGCACCATTCTGCGAAATTATTCGCCGCACGAAAACGTCAATGTTGAGGCTCAGCCGGCATCGAGCAGACGAAATGCAAGCCTCCGCGCATAACAACCCCGCAGCCGCCCAACCAGCTGGGAACGCCAGATGAGTCGCCATATTTGCCCCCGGTCAATTTACCAGATCGCGAAAGCAGCTGATCGAGACTTTAAACCAGTGCAAGCCCGAAAACTTGACGCGATCTGTCGATTCAAGCAAGTCTGGCACGCATTTCGCGTCCCCTCAACCAGGCATGCAGTCAAATTTGCCAGTTATTCCCTACGGAAGATCCGTAAAGCGGAATTTTCCCTAGCTCCCTGCACATGGGGTTGTCCCGCTCTGTCGCTATTTTTGAAGTGTCGACAAAAGTGGAAAAATTGCGACTTACATGTCTGCACGTGACTATTCCTGTTAGGATACTTGTCCGAAAACGTAGCACACATATTTGTACACCTTATAATTCGCGCACACAAATACGTCCTTCACAAACCTTTACAACTCCCTAGAAGATTCCCACACACCAAAAATGGCCACACTAAAAGGAAAATGGCGTACTGCCTTGCTCAAAAAAGCCAAAAGAATCCACTAGGGGCAAAACCGACGAAAAAGTGATGCGCATGGCGATGGAGATGCCGATGTGCGTATTTAGTTTTTTTAAATTCTTGTTTATAGAATCGAAACCGAAAATATCACGGAGCCGGAAAGAGGTCCGATGAACAAGCTGTCACGGTTTTTCTGTTTTCTTGGAAATTAAAATGATGTCATCAAAACTTAAATACTATTTGTGTAGCGAAAAGTGTTAATTCGGGGCACTCTGCTAGTGAAGAAGCGTCGATATTCGTATCGCAATTTGCACAAATAGCCCAACTTTTTTTTTTTTTTTTAAGTAATTTTTTATGCATTACCAGTCAGTACAGTGCCAACAGTTTCGTGGATCATTTAGAGCAGACGATTGGTCGAGAAACGTACCAATGAATGAAAACGAGACGCAGATGGCCACATTTATGTTTTATTTTTTATGCAACACGGGACAGTCACGTTTTGAGGCTCGTTCACACAGAAGGCTCGTTCACACAGACCCGTTTTCTTACATTGCGTTACGAAAAGTCACCGGGCAATCTGTGCTTCGTATTTCGCGTGGCTACCAATTCAAGGAGATAGCTTGGCACGCGACATTCAAAACACGAATGCCTCGGCGACTTAGACGTAACTTAAGAGAACGGTGTTGCGTGATAAGTTGAACCGAGCTCAATTCCTTACGTTACGTTACAACGAGCCGTGTGTCCACGGCTTCCACGGTAACTCACCGTCCTAGCTCGTCGTCACCGAAACATTGTTGTTTCGAATGTCGCGTGTCAGGCTATCTCCTTGGATTGGTAGCCACGCTTAATACGAAGCACAGATTTCACGGTGACTTTTCGTAACGTAACGTAAGAAAACTGATCTATGTGAACTAGCCTGGTTCATACCGGCCGTCCCGTCATTCTCTGTGAATGAAGTATAACGCAGTGGCGTCACTAGGGTCAGCGGCACCCGGGACGGTGGCCCGCCGCGATAACTCCCCCCTTCCCCACTCCCCCTTTTTTTAGTGACGCTGCTTGTCGAACGTTCCGTCTTTGTGAGAACTTTTTTTTTTTAGACAGTCTGGTTGGGACACGCGTGTCAAAAAATAAATTTTACGCGAAAAAAAATTTTAGAGCAATATTGACGTTGAGAGATTTATTTGAAATTCTGCGCGCAAAGTCCATGACGTCACGGAATAGTCATTCGCTCAACGAGATGGTCACTGGGCCAGGGAGCCTTCACACACGCACATGAAGGCACCCTAGGTCTTTCCACCTCAACCTGAAGGTGAAGTCGATCGACCTCTCCTCCACGCGCTCGAAATGCTGAGAGAAAATAAGTGGAAAGGAAATCGCGTCTCGCGCCATCAATATTATTCTATCTTTTTTTTTTTTTTTTTTCGCATAAAATCATTTTTTGACACGCGTGTCCCCACCAGACTGTTTAAAATTTTTTTTTTTTTTTTTCAGGGGTTTTTTAAGGCGGAAGTCTTATATGTCTCATCGTTCAGTCGACCTTCAAAGTCCTTGAGAGAAAACACGTCGGCGACACAAAAGGTACGAAAAGGTTAACGTGATCACTCAGTGCATGACTAAGCGAATTAAGATGATGACTCAGCACATTGAGGAGGATGACTCAGAAGATTAAGTCGTCTTAGGGATACATCATGTGAATTTCTTTTTTTTTTAATTTATTTATTGCAATACTTTAAGGCCCTGACGGGTAATACAGAGGGGGTAGGCACATAATCGCACACAAAGTAAACATAACAAAGCAAAAACCAAAAGCAATAAAAAAATAGAAAGTCACAAGAAATTTTCAAAAACATAATTAGTAATAGTCGTTTCAAACTAATCAAGTGGAGGTACTGGTGTTAAAACTGTCGGTGAGTGGTTCCACTGTTGATGTTCTGGGAATGAAGGAATCGAGATAGGCAGAGGTATATGGCACTGAGGGACTCAACTTTAATCTGATGATCGATACGTGAAGAAATGTAAGACGAGTTCAACAGTAGTCTTTCTCCTAGGCTAGGATTGAAGTGACATATTTTGTGAAAGAGGCATAATCTCGTACCTTTACGGCGCAACAAAAGAGGAGGAAAAGAGAGGCTGGATTTCATGGAAGTTACACTGGCTGTACGATGAGAATGAGGCGAACGCTGCGATTTTGAACTGGCTCGAGGTTAGAAATGAATGTTGATTGCCGGGATAAGTTATAAGTGATGTGCAGACCAAGGTATTTATAGGAAGTAACATATTGCAAGGAACCGTTATTAGGGAGGTAGGCAGCGTGTTACGACGAAAACTCTCCCATTGATTTACATTCGCGACAGTGGAAAAGAATAGACAAAGCATACAAATGTTATCTCCAGTAAAGCACGATTGTTAGCTTTTTCTGCGACGCCACTTGCCAATCAGTTTTGTTACACAGACGTACGTGCACAAACGGGGCATTTTTTTATATTACTAAATTTGGCACGCTTAGGTTTTGCAGAGAGGGTAAGCAAGATGCTCGTGTACTCAACTACTCAACGAAAAGCCCCAGAAAAGTGTGCGTTTTCACGGTGAACTGAATAGTATGGCAGAGCTTGGGCCCTCCTCCTTCCGTTCGATGTCCCGTTTTCTACTCTAAGGGATACAAAAAAAAAAAAAAAAAAAAAAAAAAAAAAAAAACACGCTGTTCGTGGCAGCCATGATGGCACGCCTCCATCACATGTTCGAAACATAGATTTGCTTCATATGCGTTCAAACGTGTCTGTAGCAAGTTTTTTTTTTTTTTTTTTTTAGTGATAAACGTGTCAGGATTATTTTACAAGGAAGGCCTTAGCCAGTGTCTGGAGACTGTCTTCTGTATAATGTATGAGCAGTGTGTGAGCGCGGCTTTTGGGGCATATCCCTACTGCGCGATGCACCGTTAGGGCGGATACCATACGAAGTGTCGTTTCAAGAAATAAATGTCGCGCGAGTGAATTGAAAGGATTAGTGCACCGCTCGTAGAAGTATACGAGAGTTCCCGCCAAATCTCGTCTCTATTCGTAACAACAAATGGAATGCGTGGGGTACAAGCACTCGCACAACAAACACTAGTTTTTTTTGTTTTGTTTTTTTTAACCCGTGGCACTGAATTTTTTTAAGTCCGAAGAAACTTTGCAGTGGAAATTTCCAATGTGAACCAAGTGACCCGACGGGGGAGAGAAAGAAATAATAATTAACTGGGGTTTATAGGCAAATGTGGCATGTGCAGCGCTCAATGAAACGAAAAAGATCAGCGGAGCGCTTCGCCTCGCTAGAGTAATTGCTTAGCTAGCGTCATTCTAGCGTAGAGTTACCATTGAAACTAAGGCAAGTGTGAAGGCGAGTGGTAACCCAGGAGCGGGGGAAAAACATGACGGACAAGCACAAAGCTTTGCGTTTGTCCGTCCTGTTTTTCCCCAGCTCCAGGGTTAACAAGTGAGTACTAACCATACGGCTCTGCCTTTTCAATTACTATAGGCATCGCTAGAGTAACTATATTTATTTATTTATTTATTTATTTACCCTCAAGCGTCCGAAGACATTCCAGAGGGGAGTGGGAAATACAAAGAAATAACAACAGGCAAAATAAGCACAGTCATATATTTAAAAAAAAGAAAAAAGTTAGAGCATCTTTAAAAATGCATGTGTCATCAATGGTGGCAATGACATGAGGAAGGTGGTTCCATTCTACAGAAGTGCGCGGAATGAATGAATAAAAAAATGCATTATACTTTGTCTCATCCTACGATGGACCAATCACGTTATACGCTAAACTATAACACGCCTTCCTTTATCAGGGGTGGACAAATAATGCGCCGAACCCAAAAAAACGCTGTATCATTTCTATAGCTTCGACACTGCAAACAGTTTCTACGTCGCGGCTTTATTGCATTGTAAAATTGTTGAGTCACTCACTCCCATTCGATTTGAACCATTTTCCGCCCATCCTCATCGGTGATCCGAGACGCGGGCACTGATATGTGCATCCAATCGCAATATCACGCAATGTGTAAGTGGCTCGTGATTGGATCTGGCGGTCTGTAGCTTTTTCCTTTAGTCCATCGTAGGGTGAGACGAAGTATAGTGTTGCATGGAAAGACCCCCACTTTGCTCTTATGATCTAAACGACGGGAAATACATATGGAAGGGTTAGGTAGATTGTGACGCATGGCCGGTTTATGATAAATTTTGTGAAAAAAGGATAGACGAGAATATTGTCTACCTAAAGCAAGAGTGGGTAATGACAACGATAGTTTCATGGAGGTTACACTAGAAGTACGGTGGTAGTT